GCCCGATGCCAAGCGGCGGAAGTCGGCACGAAAAATGGAGGAAATTCGGAAGGACGCTGTGAATCAGCGAGTAGAACACGTAACTGCAGCATATGTATATAATGGACCTTTTCCACATACCGACGGCACCAGGCGGTGGCTGTACGAACTAAAAATCGAGGCAGTGACCTACCTCCGCTACCAATCGATAATGGGAGCTCCGCTACCAGTTTCTTCGCTCTCTGAGCAGCGTCGCCTGCCCAACGCGACTGGAAAGAGGGGCATCCGTGGCGTCCACCAAAACGTCGTGTTTTCCTTTCCGTCGACGTTCTTTTTTTGTGTAACACAATTATATATTTGCTGCAGTTACGTGTTCTACTCGCTGATATACAGCCTCCTTCCGAATTTCCTCGATTTTTCGTTCCGACTTCCGCCGCTTGGCATCGGGCGCTCGCGCGTGCGCAGAACGCTTCTCGAAAAAGGTCCATTGTTTTACACAAAAAAAGAAAGTGGACGGAAAGAAAAACATGACGTTTGGGTGGACGCCGCGGATGCCCCTCTTTAAAGTCGCGTTGGGCACGCGCCGCAGCTCAGCGAGCGAAGAAACTGGTAGCGTAGCTCCCATTATCGATTGGTAGCGCAGGTAGGTCACTGCCTCGATTTTTAGTTCGTGCAGCCAGCGCCTGGTGCCGTCGGTATGTGGAAAAGGTTCATTACTAGGGAGTAAATAACCCGCTCCTGGAACGCGAGTTCTGACGTCATGGAGTAAGCGCGAGTAGGTTAGCTCCGGAGTCAGATCGAGTAAATTTTGGTCTTTATGAAGGAACGCTCGAACGCAGCACCTGAAGTCAACATTATTAGATTAGCTCACTAACGGAACTGCTCATAGACGCTGCATGTACGAGCAGTAGCCCCCCCCCCCCCCTCCCCCTCACTCACCACGATTTGCCTCTCGTCCTTCGAAGCGCCTCACGGTTGCTTTGGTAACTTCAGTGTATTCTATGGGATGAGTACGTTTCGAAGCGCAGCGTCTATACTCAGCGACTTTTCTTGGCAATAGAGAGGAGACAATGAGAACCCTCCACTGCATGGTCAAAAAAAGTTATCGTCGAGTATTGATGGCGTTCCACCATACTCTATGGAAAACACAGTTTGTAAACGAAAATCTAGGTGGTGCTTCGAAGGACGGGAGGCGGTCTAAGTGAGGGGGAAAGGGGGGGGGGGGTACCCCTTTCCGCGGAAGTTCCACAACTGAGGCAATCTAGTAACGTTGCCTGAAGTCAGCAACGGCAGACGTCATCTTCCGAAAGTGGTCCGCTAAAGGGAACGTGGCACCGCTAGCCGAAGCCCAACGCTCCGTTGTCAAGGTGGGAACTGAGAGCGGAAAGCGGTCGCCTGACGAACCCTTGGCGGTTCCGACGAGGATTGGAGCACGCTCGAACCTGAGATTATATTAGAGAGCTCCGTGCGCTTAAGGCGCCAGTCTAGGATGTCTGCTGCCAGTACTTCTCACACTCCGGCAAGCACCCGCGTGACCCCGGGCGAGCAGTTGGAAACTTTCTGTAATACAGGCTCTCGTTCGACAAAGGAATTTCCATTGAACTATGGCGCTTGGAGCGCGTCTCCGACTGGTGTGTTTAGCGTCCTATCGTGTCCATACATCAAAAGTGGTCCAGAAGTGGCAACCAATGGCGTCACAGAAGCCGGAGTGTCATGCTGTTGCCTGTAGTGATCGTGGCCGTTGGTTGAAGAACTGCTGGGGAAAAGCACGAGCGAACGCGAGTGTCGCTGTTGTCACGGCGTCCCACCTGGTTGACGAAGCTTCCGTGGATCGCCACACTGGAGAGAGACCTGCAGTAGGACTGCCGTCTGTGACATCCACCACCACAGCTGGAACACCGCCAAGATGGCGGCCGGTGACAGCGTGACACTTCTATGACGACGCCAGGCGGAAATCGAAGGACCAGTGTTTTGGACGCGGTAAACAGACCAGTCGGAGACGCGTTCCAGGCACCATAGCTCCACTGCACCAGGGAAACGGCTTGCTAAAGCATATTTCAAACGCGCTGTTCCGGTAAAGTTGAGCGGGTAAGCGTAAGATGAGTGAACCGCATAAATGGTCAGCTAAAACCCCCTATTAAAGTTTCTCCGAGCGGAGCGGAGCAACACCACCTAAACTGACAGGCCTTTCCAATGTGGAGAGCAAGTCGTCTGCTTTTGGCGCAGGAGTTGCGGTAACGTCAGAAAGACGCTGAACTCTGATTGGCTCTAATAGTAGGATAACGGGTAGACCTCAAAGCCAGCTGCCTCGAGGTCTACCCACTATTCTTCATTCATGAATCATAACTGATCAGAGCTCGGCGCTCTGACGTCACCATAACCCCTGCAAAGGAAGTATACGATTTTTTTTTATTTGTTTATTTAATTTTTGACACAATTGTTAAGGGGGTTCGGACAAAAGGCGATACAATCCCTGACCTGTTCCCAACCCCTGTAACAACACTCAACAGCAGGGCACAAATCGAGGGAGATAAATAAAATAAAAAGCCAGCTCGCAGCGCGAGTCAAGAAAGAAACTATTTCACTTAGCTAAAGACCCTTCAGCTTACTAATACGGTAAACAATTACACTGATTAATAACACAACTCACTAGGTATGTACACTAGCAACATTAAAATATTCCTTTAGGTATTTTCTCTAATGAAACATGGAAGTGATTTCCTGGGCCACCTCATACGCGCAATATTGTTTGTTTAGGATATCTGTAATCTGGTAGGATACTTTTTGAGTACCATAATTAGTCCTAATTTTTTGTCTTGAAAACTGCTGATGCCTCAGGTTGCATTTTGTTTGCTTGGGTAGGTAAGTCTCGTGAACGATGTCAGGATCACTGTTAATTTGGATATGAATTGAAATCGCCACCTTTAGGCAAAAAAAGGTTATCTACCATAACTATTTTATGCTTACAGTACACATCACAGCACACACTGTCATGTACGAATCATCCCTGGTTCAGTCATTAATCCCTTCAAACTGAAAAGTGAATTCGACGAAACGCACAACGCCAAAGTCTTCGCAGACATTGCCAAACTACTGAAAAATAGAGATGTCAGGCGGTCGGGTCTATAGCGTGACGTCATAAGAAGAACGCAGAGTCCTGCCAGTCTATACTCCGTTTCAACTTGCGTCCGGGCGCAGCGGATACTACGAGCCATCGTAGCCAATCTAATGCCGTGTGAATTTCACGTGACCTTGAAATAGGGGCACAGCGAAGCGCGGAAAGCGTGTCAGGGCCCAAGCCCACAGAGCGGAATTGGCTAGGATAGCTCGTAGCGTCTGCTGCGTCCGGACGTCAGGTGATGTTGAGCGAAGCGAGGGGTGATCGCACGCAGCACGGTCGCTTAGGCAGCTTAGCTTGAAGCCCAAGCTATACGGAGGGCAAGTCGTCTGCTTCTTGCGCAGGAGTTGTGGTGACGTCAGAACGACGCCGCGTTTTGATTGTCTTTGATTGGAAGGACAGTGGATAGACCTCAATGCCGGGTGCCTTAAGGTTACCCACTTTTTTTCAATCAGCCAATAAGAGCTCGGCGTTCTGACATCATCGCAACCCCTGTGCAAGAAGCAGACGAACGCGCTCTCCGCATAGCGTTCCTGCGTTGGTAGCAGACGACATTGCGGCAATGGCGCGGCTGTAACTGGCTTGAGACGCTGCGTTCGCATACACGTCTACTGACATTCGTTGACCATAACAGATGGACTTTATTGTGGGAAGGAGACGGCGATGTAGCGAGATCAGGTACGTATAAAAAAGAATTCGAAATAAGGACTCAACGCAGTTGGCTAATTTTCTCCAGAGCCTAATATTTTGACGAGACTTACATGAAAAGCATGCTGTACGTGTTTTGACATCCAACGTCTGTTTTCTTTTTTTTTTTTTCCTTTTTAACATGGGTTTAAAGTACCAAACTGCCCTTTTTTTGCAATATGGCTTTTGAATTCAACGTCCGCATTCTTTATTACTGTTCCGATAAAGCACGTTTCACTGGTGTCAGTGTGTATTTGTTTGATTTGTGATATCGAAACTCCTTCACACAAATGTCTTGCACTCGCATTCACGTTCAGCTTACCTTACAACGGCGCATTCATTCATTCATTCATTCATTCATTAAACCCTTGAAGGCCTCATTCACGGGCATTACATAAAGGGGTATACATTCCAAAGTTATTTAGAATATGAACAACAAAAACAAACAGGTAGTTGTCAGGTAACAGTTCTGAAAAGGAAAGTAGAAACCATGCAAAAAAAAATGATGTGAGCACAAGACTGTCAAATGAGTTGTTAACCCAAATGACAAATCAAAGCATTTCAAAGCAAGATAGTGCCACATATTGCTATCATGTAGGAGGGAAATTCAATCTAGTCTATGGCTGTCCGGGGGAAAAAACTCTAGGTTAAAATAATTTATGCGTCTGGACATTCAAGGTACATGGCAGGAGCTAGTGGCTTAGTAGTGACGGCGCTCTGTCAGGAGTAATTTGGATACGGTGCGGAGACACGTATAATTAGAATACATTTTATGGAATAGAGTTAAGCGTAATATCTTACGACGTTCGATTAAAGTTGGAATATTTACCTGTTGTTTAAGCGCAAAGATATTGATGGTTCGGTTATAAAATTTGAGGATAAATTTCTGCGCTGTTCTGAATAGACTCAGCATGGTTTATGAGATAATTTTGATGAGGTTTACAAATTCTTGCTCCATATGCTTATTATGCCCTAACCCACTAGTATAAGAATATGTCAGGCTAAATAGGCGTTCGTAAAAGTTTGTACGTGTACTTATAAGCATAGACCGATGTTTCACCTAAATATCACATCCTCTCCCCCCTCCCCCCCCCCCCCCTCCCCTTCCCCTGACAAATCTAAGACGCGGTTTTGAGCCCCAAAACAAGCCCCTACAGAGAGATCGCATGGTGGCCATGGCGACTACTGCAAATTACAGAGACTGTTGTTGGTGCAGGCGAGCGGCAACGTGTCCCAGTGAGTCCGAACAATGCCCTACTCTTGGCCTCCTCCCGACAGACTTCAAATCCGTTGTCTGCGCCTCTCGGAATTCAGGTGAGTTGATCCTTTTTGGATTTCGAAATTGAAATAAAAGTTTTGTGCTGCTTGTCAATTATCCAAACCGGCTCGTTCAAAATCACTAACTGTAAACAATTTTCCTTCTCGAAAGCTCGATATTTTGCAAATTTGGCACCAGAACGTTGAAATACTTGCTTCGGTACTAACGTTTGTAGGAAGAAAGAATCTAAAAAAAAAAACAAGCTTTTGGCTAACTACCTATACTGGTGTTCGCCTTAAGATCCGTAGTAATAAAACTCCTTCTTCTAGCGATGCATAACTAATTTTTCCCTTTTATGTAGCGCATTAAGTTGCTTGTGTTGGTATTCTAGATTTACTGTGTTATTTTATAAATGCGCAAACATGTCAAACGCCAAAAGCATCGTTCCTTGCTCCGACAATCGAATCTCCTAAAGACTTGAGATGAAAACGAGTATAAGTGGTCTATACAGCGTTTCATACTTATAAGTACAACGCCGTCAAAGCTAATGACTCGAGCGCTTTGCTTTATCTAGCGTCTTATTTTGAAGAGAGCGTTCAAATCAAGGGTCGAGCCAGCGGTTTTTACGGCGTTCTGCATAAAGTATAAAACAGAGTGCAACTTAGCTGGCTGACCAAAAGAACACATAGGCGGATTAGCGTTCACGCTGGATTCGTCGAATGAGCTTGTCGGCATCGTCTTAAGTCGGGATCACACTCCTCATTTATTATTTGCGGTGAGAAGCTCGCTGCGGTCGCCTCTGTTTTTCTCGGTATGGGTAGTGCACGTGCTACCCATGCGGTTGTGCTTTAGTTTGTGTAGTGCATACAAGCCTTGCATTGCACGTGCTTGCACCAGCAGAGGAAGTCTAAGTATCCTCACTCTGGATCGGAAAAGCATTCTACCAGGCGGCAATACCGAAACTTTTCGCCGCGAATACCGAAGACAGTCTGCAAACAGAAGTCACCGCAATATCCGTGGTTCGAATGCCAAGTTTCTCCTCGAACTCATTGCCATGCGGCATTCGAAGCACAGATCTCGCGGTGACTCGCGTTCGAATCCGTACGTAGACTCTCTTTTGTACGGGGCATTTGTCAAGGTCGGCTGTGCGCGACAATATTTTACGTGTAAAGCAGACACCAGGTGCGACCAATGCAACAGTCGCTAACCTTCTAAAGAAAAGCTTCTGTTTATTATTCTCGAACAAAATAAGCTTTTCTGCCTATAAACGGGTGTTGAAATCACTCCGGAAAATGCGGTAATAAAGAAACCATGCCACACTGACAGTTTGAATGTGGTTAACGAAATATCCCGCAACTCATACTGGGCGTCGCTCAAATGAGAGTACGTTTTCAAAGCTGTATACTTATGACTAAAGTCGCAGGATCTCGTGGAAGCGCAACGCCAAAGCTCCCGGTATTCGCCACTTTGGACCAAAAAATTAACGATTCTTTTTTTTCTTTCTTTCTTTTTTTTACCTCTCCTTTTTCGGCGAGCCAATTCCAATTCCCGGTGACGCGGGTTTCTCTAAATGAACATTTCTCCTATACCGAGATTTCGTTACACACACACCGGCAAAACAAAAAAGCGCTCATCTTCGCACCGCCACCACCCTCGGCGTCGGTGTCTGACGGAATTTAAAAATACTTTCCCCGCCTTAAAATACATAAGACTTAAAAAGCATATCCTTATAAGATATTTGTGAAGATGAGAATGATTGATAAGTAGGTTGCGTGGACAGTGTCAGAAAACGGGTGTATTGGCGAGGAAAGCTTTCGGTACGACGACGACGCTCTACAAGGACAGCTAGCTTTTCCTTTACCCACTAATCGCTCCAATCAGAGCTCGGCACTCCGGCGTCCTCGCGCTCTCTCGTTTCCTTCTCTCCATCGGTTTCTGCCCGCCTTGTCTAAAGCCGCATCTTCATTGGCTGCGACGCGTCGCGATAATAGAACACTCGGGACTCTGCAATCCCGGCGGCTTTTTTAGGCCCTCTGAGGGGCCTTCATCCGAAACGACTCTCTACTTAAATATGAACACTGGTTTACCTGTGCATGAACAGGTGTGCAGCTCTGAGAGTTTGCTTTCCGAACTGCTCATTAGGGTTTTTAATACGTGTGACGCTTTTCCAATTTTCCTCTCTAGTTCTTGTCGTGGCTGTGGGATACCCGGACTACCTACAAGTTACAGGTATCTGCTGACGAACGTCTTTTTTTATTTTTCGTGTTGGTTGTTATTAACGTTTTCTTCCTATCCACGTGTCTGCACGCTTCAATGCTCAATAATAAAAAAAAAAACGCATGACGTGTTCCATAAATATATCGGAACTTATGTGAGTTATGCGATGCATCTAGTATATCTGATCTTATTCGATCTTATTTAATATTGTCTTATCTTATGATATTATCTGTTCTTTTATGTTCGCATATACGTTTATTGTACTCATTCGTTCAGTTTTTTCTATGAAATGAGGTTTTGATTTTACAGAGAATAAAAACGGTTTATGGCTAGGGTTTTATAAGAAAATCTCCAAGAAAAAGTACAACGCAAAAGTTCGAAGCATAAATTCCTTACTAAATTCACCGGAAAAGTTGGGCGTATCGATATGCACTTTGCATTCTCTCCACATTGCCTTTACGAAAGGAGTCAAGTGTTCTAGGGTATTTATTTAAGCGGGCGATAGGTTCTAAATGCCACCTTCAACGTGCGTTTATGGAGCTCGGCGGACATTTGTCGGGTAAATAAAGGCAACGATAAGTTCGTTGATTCTCTAAAGTGTTTACCTAACTTTTAAGAAATTGTTTAGGAGTTTACGTTGTTGATTCAGTAATAAAGGCAGTCATTGTTGAAGGCTAAACCAGTTTAATAGCAGAAGCGTCACAGGAAGGAAAAAGGGCGCTCTCCTGGCCGCTCCATCGCTCCCTCAATTGACACAGCGATCGATCTGATTTATACTGCTGCGTGCATACGCATGTGCAGCCAGCCGCGGAAACAAAGCCTGAACACGCGTTAGCCAGACGGTTGCACCATACTGCGCCACCTTCCTTAATACTTTAAGAGCAATTTGATAGCCTTTAAGGCGGGAGAGTACCCTCCTTCTCACCAAGACTAGAGTGCACCACACTTCGTTTCACACTTTTCACTTGGCAAGAGCGCAGTCAAACACTATGCTTTGTTTCACCTTATGTCCGAGCGCGGACGATGCTATGACCCGAAGGGCCAATCAAACAGCGCAAAAAACGCAACGTCATGGCGCACTCTTTGCGCTTCATAGGACTAGCCGGCATTCGCCGTCTCTCTGTGCGTGCTCCTCCGCCGGCTAGTCCTATCAAGCGTAGAGAGCACGCCATGACGTTGCGCTTTTTGCGCTCTTTGATTGGCCCTTTGGATCATAACATCGGCCGCGCTCGGACGTAAGCTGAAACGAAGTATTTGCGACGCACAAGTACATCGAGACAGTCTGAAAACCTAAAGTCACGAAGCACTTTTTTGCGCTTGCTTGACAAAACCAGCTGTTATGAACTCAGGCAATAGACCCTTTCCGAAATTCAGTGCCATCTGGTGGTTTGTATAGGAGTTTAGCTTTTGCCATACCAATGGCGGTAATGAACTTGTATTTCATCGGACACCGTCACTTTCGCAAGTCAAGGGCACGCGAGGAATTGTTCAATGTGAGTTCTTTCTCGACCACTTTCAGTTCGATGGTGACCAAGAACTTGCAGAACAAAGGTCCAACCCACACAGATGCCTCGATAAATTTTTATCCACCAAAGGGGTCAAAGCCGATTGTGTGCCGCCCACAAATTGACTGAATCTAAGTTGGAAATGAACGCTTACGTAGCTCTTGTGTTCCATTCCTACGCCGTGTTGTACTAACCCCCCGAATTTACAGCCCTCGCATCATCTGCTTAGAAGCATCTTCAACGTCTTCCCTTATCAGTCACTAGAAGGCCGCCATTGGTAGGACACCGATGCCGTTCCACAGATGATGATAGTGATCAAAGTGGCCAGACTGAATTTCGGAAAGGGTCTATTAAGGACGCCGAACCCTGTTAGCTTGCACTTTCAGCGCTGCTTCATTTGTACTCTCGGCTCCTGTCGTCGGCAGCGCTGTTATAATGAGACCAAATTGACTATGGAAAAGTGGGGAAATTGTCACAGCGTCCCTAAAATCCTTTTCGGAAAACCCCAGGAGAGCTCGCATCGAGGGGAATTGTGGCTCTGTTCCGATGTACGCTCGTCGTATGGAGTCGAACGCTTCGTATATCCTGAAAGCGGCCTCTTTTCATTAGGAGCTCAGCACCGACAAGAATATAAAGCGCACCCAAAAGTAGGTCATCGCATACTTTGTTTATCTTTTCTTCTGCCTTCTCTATGCTCCGAAATCTCAATCTATTAAACGAACGTCAACTTCTTCCCACATATGTTTTTTTTACACCGAAAACGACGCTATTTTTTTGTTTTGTTTTTTGTTTCTTTTTTTTTTTTTTAATATGTAACATCAGCCAGCTCACCTGTCAACTTACTCTTTCTTCGGTCAACTTCGTCTTCTATTCCTGGATAATCTCCTGTGCCGTAAATCGGAACGTCACGATTCGTCAAGCAGATGGTGGGGGGGCGCCACATATTTCCAGAAGTGCATTGCTGTATTATGCTCTTAAGCTGTTATCGCATCATTGCTGTGTTAACATGTTTTTTTAGCGTAAAATTGCCGGATGTAGATACTGAAATAGTGAAACGGAATTAGGAAAACCTCCTCCTAACCGGGCTGTATTATCCTGGCATTGGCGACCAATACAACTTAATTAAAAGATCAAGCTTAATGAGGACATGTAGAAAATATGGTCTCGTGCATTGCAAATCTTAAGCACGCTTGTTGAGAGTTTCAACTTCTGAATAAACGTGGTAGAAATCTAGTTATGCGCCTATGTATGATCATTTTCAAGAGCAACTTTATTTTCTATTCTAGAACATGCATGGGTGTCAGAATCAAGAGAAAAAAGCTGTTTAACAGCTTGACGGAGCCCTTTTTTTTTTGTTGTAATTTCGCACACACTGCATACCTCCCCCCAATAATAAACGCACCAACGTAAATAAATAGGCAACAGAGCATATAATGCAAAATAAACTGAATATTCAATAATTTATTCATGTATATTTATTCGAATATACAAACATTTTATTTTGAATGCAATGCAAAGGTTATTCGATAGAGGGTATAAAGGGTAGTAGGGAGAGTTTCTTTGCATTATGGCAGACAAAAATTATTACAACAGAATGGCACAGTTCAGTGATCCGGCGAAAAGGTTGGATAGGACGAATTATGCTGTCTTCGATCAGCAATACAGCTAAGCTATCGACATGTATTTTTTCCCTCATTTAAAACTGACCATCGGTTTGTACTTCTAAATTTTAAACGAGCAAGATATGTCTTAAGAACAGACCTTGGGTGAGTTTAGTCAACGAAGCATTCTCGATGGGCGTTATTATCGATCAGACACACTAAACTTAAAACGTGCACATCGACTGCCACTTTATCTTTAAGCGGTCTATTACAAGCACCCCTCAGTGAACTGTCGGTCCTTGTAACAGTGCTCCACTTATCTTAGTGCAAGCTAGCAAGATATCGCTGGCATCTGGGTGTCTTCTGGACTAAAAGTTTGCATAAACTATTATAAACATGAAAGTATCACAAAGATTGTGCATGGTATGATGCAATTCAACCAAAAATGACAAAATCGTCACCGCAAACGCGGTGCGACACCAGACACGTCGGTGGTAGCCACGGCAGACAACTTTTAGCACGCCAGTCTGGGCAACTCTGGATCACGATTGCAGTACTGACATGGTCTGCCAAGCGCGCTGCTCGGTCGGCACATCTGTGTTCGGGTCTAGTTTCGGGATAACCTCATATTTTTTTAGTGATTGTACCGCCTATGATTATTGTGAAACCCACGATCTATTTCAGAGCCCGCGCGGATTCCGCCACAAGGAGCGCCGGCCGTGACCGTCAATCGTAAGCTTTTATCGTCATGGGCTTGTCTAAATTGAGTTGTTTGACAATTGGGTAGCACGGGCTCCTAATGAAAAGTATGTACATATATGTATATACATATTCGTTTTATGCAAATTTTATTTGCATAAAACGTTTTATCGTTTTATGCCTTTGAGAGCCATCATCCCAAAACATGTTTGTGAAGGTTATAACCGCAATCAACGCATCGTAACACACTGTTATTACAGTTTATTAGCCGCTTTTGTTGGCGAACTTATTTTATTAAGGAATAATTACTACCGCCACAAGGGTGCACAACCGTGACAACTTAAAGCCGTTTAATCGAATGAAGATTTTATCGACGTGTTTTTTGTTGTTGTTGCTAAGGGGCAACATTTTGGGAAACGTTAATTTTACGTGTCGTACAGGTATCCACTTTAGAGATTGCCGATTTTGTATTTTCCCATAGCCTGTACCAAAGATAAGTCTAGCTAGTGTCGAGGGTTTAGTCAGCATCCTATTTTCATCGCTGCTCTTACTGAAAACAAAAAGAAATAACCATTGGTTCTCGAGTCTGAAATTCAGTTTCTATTGTCTGACCACGCAGCGACCACGTAGGCGTATTAAAATAGCTTAGTCTAGACTTCTTCACGCGACATCTTTGTCACTCAAAAAAAAAAAATCCACTTTATCTAGGTGACCTATTTGAATCTCGCATAGAATGCGTGAGCAACCTAATGTGGCTATTCTAAAGCATAAAGAAAAGTCTATACTCCGTTTCATTTTACGTCCATACCGCGGCCTAAGTGGCGATCCAATATAGCCAATAATCAAGCAGCGCCAAAATGGCATCGTCACGGTCCCCATCGCCTTGATGGGCTAGCTATGTCCGACTATCACGCATTGTGAAAGCGCCTCAGTCATCCGGTTTGTTTTTTTAGACGTGATTGGTCTCCAACTATCTCCAAACTCCGACCTAAAAACATGTTTTCCTGTAAGGCTTATCATATTATGGGGAGCTGGACAAAACCAGCCGTCTGCGTTAAGTCCTTATTTCGAACTCTTGTTGTTCGCGTTCCGCCCATTGAAAAGCAAGCGGGAAGGGCCTCAGCACGCACTTTGAATCGCTGCGCCGCATTGTTCTTCCGCAACATAAAGGCCATCTGCTTTCATCGCCGTCACCATGGCAACAAACGCCGATTTTCTGAACGCCGTCTGCTAGCCAAGGCTTAATAGTTTTGTAATGAGCAGCCGCACAGTATCGCCGCGAAGCGCGTGAATGCAGGTGGGAGGGTGGGTTAACATGCTCCCCAGTGATACAGGCGCCGTCCGAAAGGGTCATTCAGCGTTCGTTGCCATGGTGACGGCGATAAAAGCAGGCAGCCTTTATGCTGCGGAACAACACTGCGGCGCAGCGATACGAGGTGCTGAGGAGCTTCCCGCATGTTTTTCAATGGGCGGAAACCAACAAAAAGAGTTCGAAGGACTTAACGCAGAAGGCTGGTTTTCTCCAGTGCCTCATCCTTTAACAAGCCTTACACGAAAAGCTTTTTTTTTTTTTTTTGCCATCCCGCGTTTTCTTTTTTTATCCGTAACATGGGTCCAAAGTATCAAATTGCCAGAATGATTATCAAGTCGAGCTATATTTGCATTGCGTGTCGCCGAGCGAGCGCGTGCGTGGCGGAGTGATTACCGTGGTTGGTTTTTAGCACGGAGGCCCCAGGTTCGATTCCTGGAAGAAGACGCTTCTTTCGTTTATTCTTTCAATTTAGCAGTGTTCTCGTAAGTTCGAGCACCTTGTCGTCTTATCGAGGTACGAATGTTCTACGCGCCGAACGTTGTTCGCCGAATGTTCCACAAACCCCCGCGGGTACATAAAGGATTAAAACTTTGGATTGGGCTAGTTGGTTAATTGTGACCTAGAGGACTTAAAAGCGCAAAAAAAACACGGAAGAAGAAGAGAGGAATACAACACAGACTGGCGCTAACTTTCAATTGATTTAATCAGACCGCTCAAAGAAGCATGTCACTCAGTACACAGTTTGTGCCTACAATGTTTTTTACGAGATTCCACTAACGTGCGGGCGCGTGTATATTGGACAAACTGGGCGGTGTTTTAACGAAAGGGCCGTGAACATCGTCTAGTGGTTCTTAACAAAGCGGGGACACCTTGCAATACACTGCGTGCGGTGCCGGTGAGATACCTTGTTAGAATTAACAAAATTTATTAAAAGAGAAACTAACAAGACTGAGAAGGAAATAGTTGAAGCTTATTTTATAAAGTCCTCCGGTGACAACTGCGTCCGCACGCCTTCGATTTTACTAAATGACAAATAATTTCTTTTTCTAGATGGTTTTCTATAGTCACGCTAAACTGATACGAATGTGTAAATCATTGCCGTCTGTTGTTTATGTTTATGGGTTGGTTTTATCCCATGGGGTTGGCATGATGGGAAAGAGTATTCACGCATGTCTGCTGGGTGGTTTTTCTTGATTAAATCATTTCAAAGTTAGCGCCAGTCCGCGTTGTATGTGTCTCTTCTTAGTCCGTGTTTTTTGCGCTTTCGAGTCCTCTAGATTGCATAAGGAACTCCGCGTGGCGAGACGGAGTCAGTCTTCGCCCCAGCGCTCAATCCCGCTGTTTCGCCGACATCGACACCTGCGACGCTACTTGTTTCTTATTCTGTTTTCGGCACAAGTTCGCCCCATTAGATGTTTAGTTTCTCCAGTCATTATCCGCCTCATGATTTGTCGTTCGTGGCATTTTTGCTGGAGGTGCGGGGTAACGTTGGGCACCGGACGGCGGTCGTCGAGCTATGGCGGCGCAGCTGAGAGTGGCCTCGTCCGGTGCTGCCACGGTAACTGGAGTTTCTGGCTGGAAGGCTCGCTGAACCTCTTCTCGGACAACCTCGGCGATGGAAATCAAGGCGGGGCGATCAGCGGTGGGTAGAATTTTCTTGAGCTCTTCCCTGACGAAATCGCGGGCAATTTTTCGAAGGTTTTCAGCGCCGATACCGCTCTGGTCGGATCGGAGAGATATCAAAGTTGAAGCAACAGGCCTGCCGGCGAGTCGATTGTAGTGGCTGGCTCGGACCAACAGTGCACGCTCGATGTTCGTTGATACGGGTACGAATTCGTCGACAGTAGTTGGTGGGTTGCAAACCAGGCCGCCGAAGATGTCGCTCTTCGTGCCTCTCATCAGGATGCGCAGCTTCTTCTCTTCGGTTGCCTCGGCGCAGCTGCTCAAGCGGAGGACGTCTTCAACGAAGCTGGCGACCGTTTTGTTGTGGCCTTGAGTCCTTATTTGCAGAAGGTCTTCCGTCATCTTCCGTCGGTATTGGCTAGCAAACGTCTTCTTGAGTTCTTGCTTGCACACCTCCCACGAAGTTAAAGACGCTTCGTGGTACTGCAGCCAGTACCTCGCAGTCCCTACCAGCGAGAAATAGATGTTCTGCAAGCACTGCTTAGGTGATCACCCGTTACGGCGGGCCACACGTTCCTAGCGTTGCAGCCAATCCTCAATGTCCTCGTGGAGCTGCCTGTGGAAAGGCGTCAGAGTCCGGGGTCCGACGAGAAGGTGTACGACGGCGGCGGCGGCCGGTGTCTGCGACGACTGATTGTCCATCGTCAGCCTCGTTGGCTGCTTGGTCTTGGGTGGTGCCGGCTTCCTCGGGTCTCGGCAGTCTCTACGGATAGTCCTCTTGAGCAGGGGATTGGGCTTGCTCTGCGAGGCCTTGGAGGGGTACGCTTTATGGACTGCGTTACCCAGTTCCTCCACCAAAATGTCCGAATGACAAATGATGAGGTGGCTAATAGCTGGAGAAACTAAACTTTCAATAGGGCGAACTTGTGGCCAAAACAAGATAAAAGAAGGTAAGCGTCGCAGGTGCCGACGTCGGCGAAACAGCAGGATCGGGCGCTAAGCGAGACTGACTCCGGCTCGCCACGCGGAGTTCCTTATGTACCTGCGTGGGTTTCTGGGACATTCGGCGTACAACGTACGGCGCGTAGGGCATTCGTACCTTTATCAGACCGACAAGGTTTTCGAACTTACGAAAACGCTAAATTTGAAGAATAAATAAACGGAACATCCAATCCCAGGATTCGAACCGGGGGCCTAAAAGGAAAGGTAACCACTCGTCCATGCAGGCGCTCGCTTTTCGACGCGCGTAGCAATATGGTGCACTTCTGGAGATTGGTAACAGTTGTGGACAATAAACAAATTGCAATATAGACATTCAGTACAACCGTCTGCAACAACACACAACCATTAAAGTCATTCTAGTTGACAATTTATTCTGATTTTTAAGGTGGTGTTCAACAGCAGCCATAACTGATCTCGTGTCTTCTAAACGCGTGACGACGGCGAACTTGCGTAACTTTTTAGAAATATTATTTTTATATCATCAATATATATATATATATATATTTTTTTTATGTTGGATGACGATAATTCATATCTTGCTATAACCACGCACTAGGAATATCGAGCTCAATTATGTTCTCCAGTGAATTCTACATATTGCCCCATGAAACCTCCCCTTACCTTTCGATAACTTCCTGTATTTTGTCTCAATTTCCTTTCATCTGAAGGCAACATGGCGGATGGAGCGGTTTCGATTCAAGGTAAGGAGGGATTGCAATGTGCATCGAGGGTGCTGCTTGATATTTGGAAATTAAGATGGTGTCCTTAATTATTTTGTTTTGTTTACGCGCAGTTTCTGACTCTGGAATCAACGATGAAGGTATGTAGTCTTGGTACCGAAGGTATTCAATATTCGCCACTCCAGAGGAGGTCTTATTGTCCAGTGTAAATTCCAATTATCACGTTTAAATATATTTCAGCTTTTTCATTCACTCCAATCGTTTTATTTTTTAACATGGATGGCTGTCTTCGCGTTCTGCGGAAAAGTGAACTCAGAGGCATTTTTTTTTTGGGGGGGGGGGGAGGGGGGGAGGGGGGGGGAAGGGGGTTTAAGTACTGGCTGCACGGCTTCTAATGATATGCAGTCTCAAAAGCTTCTGTGTCTGTACTGGCATGAGCCACCAATCATTTGTCTTACTTCAATGGGTGTAGCCAATGTGAAGAAGCGATCGGATTGAGCCTCCGTGGTCACGCACTCTCATTGCCTTAAAAAAATTTTACCGGTCGAGTTATTCCCCGAACTCGCTTTGTTCATCGCAGTTATCGGTTATCTGAGTGCTTGGTGGGAATGCAGACGCTGATGCACTTTCTGGATTGTAGACGTATGCCATACATCAAAGTCTTACTTTTGTGCAACGCGCCTTTTTTTTTTTTTGTCTTTTTTTAAGTGTCCGGAAAATTAAACACCGAAGGAAGCTGTAAGACTTTCAAGGCCAAGCTTCTGTACGACATCAGCCCCGGTGGCCTTCCGAGGCACCTGCACAACATGACAGAACTGCTGGTGTCCAAGGAATGCGACACCCATGGTGTCTTTTCGGGTGAGTCTTATCATGCTGCATCGATTACGCGGCACCATGAAGTTGCAGGCTCAACTTCCCCGATAAATATAGCGGGGAACTTGACGTCACGGTGTTGGCTTGGGGTCACTTGATACCATGACGTCATATGACGTAAATTTCTCCGATATGTTTAGCGAATAAATGAATAGACACGATGGTCTTCAATTCGTCAAACGACTGTTTAATACGTAGTTTTAGAAGGTCGTTCCGATACCTCTGATAACGATGTTGTCTTTTACACTTGCATTGTATCATTATCGGGTATCGTTATCGGAGGTTTCGGGACGATCTACTGAAACTCTCTAACGTCTTCCAAACAAATTTAAGCGGTCACCTCTACAATACCGATTTCCATGCATTATAAGACTTCGAACACCTCGCTAAAACTTTTTCTTCTTGCTCTGTATTTTGTTTTTGTTGCTTACAGTGCCGGCGTATGCGGTCGTGGTTGCTGGGCGTCGTCTCAACGAAGACCTCAGTGCCCTCGGCCTAGGTGAAGGGTACTCGCTGTTCCTGCTGCCGGACGGTCACACCACCGTTCCTGCGTGCACCGAGTCCAGACCCCTCCTGAACCAACCCGAGGTCGTCTTGCCCTCGGAGCCCGAACCACGGGACACTCTGGTCGACTGCAAGCTGGGAGATGTCCCCGGTGTACCACACCAGTGTCCGCTCTGCGCTTCCAAAATGACCCGTCAGCTGCAGGAGGACATCTGCACAGCCTCCACGGGTCAGTCATGGTGATCAGTTTGAGACTCGAGTCAGAAAAGCCGAAGAGGTACTCAAGTCACTCACAATTTATGAAGCGGGGGGTGTGAAGAGTCCTTCTTATTATCGTTTTTCGTTCAATGAGATTGCAGAACTAAATAAGTCCATTTCATCGATGCAATTGCCCTACTTTCAGCTCAAGAAAACGTTGCCGAGATTAAATTTTTTTTTGCATAAATAGCGACATGAGTTAATGCCTTACCCTGATGTCCCGCCGTATATTCGTGTTCACGTTCCAAAGCGAGTTTTACGAGTTTTCTTCTACTTTCTTTAATAACCAAATGATCTCAATTAACCCTGTGACCCGCATACAACACTTAAATAGTAGCCTCGGTAAAGCTGATATTGATGTTTTTAACTCGTATATTTTAGCATTAAGGTTGTTTCTGACTAATTTCTAATCTCGCTGTTTATGCTTCATTACCGGTGCATCAGCAAGTATGGACCCCAGAAAATAAACAAATGAATATATTCATGATCCATAGAGGGAGACTAGACCCACTACGTTTCCGTTGACTTAATGTCCGATTGGATTCAGTTTGTTGGGGTCCTTTGGAATGATTTTTTTAAGATTCTTTTTTGTCTTTCAGCACTCGTCGTCAAGAGGAATGTCGAACGTATTTCCGGTAAGTTCCTCTTTCTCAAATCCACTTTAATCTCTACATTTGAAGTGTGTGACTTGTAACCCTCAATTTTCGTAGCGGATCTCGAAACGCCTCTGGATATGCCAATCCTCCAGTTGTCCAGTGAGTTGGTTTTGCATGTTCAAACTCTGTCTGCAAAAGTTCGAGATTTCAAAAACGGGTTTTCAATGTGACTTCAATTTCTGTCAAATGTATCATTAAACTAACACCCAATTACAAAAAAAAAAATCTGAATACTAAGGTTTGGTTTCAGATTATAATACAGTTTATCTCTTTATTCTTACCTATAGAACAGCCATTTTAGTTACTTGACAAAATTATTGTGAATGATTAATGTCCGTGAATTACTTCATCGCAATTCATTTTCATTAAAAATGTTAAACGCGTGAAAGAATTCACGTTTGAATTCTAATACAACGCAAATATTTTGAATTGTTACAAATTCCATTATGGTGTGAGAAATTATTTTGTTTGTGACAAATTATTTTTGTACTTCTATCGAGCAGACTCTCTAAATAAAACAGGATAGTTTTCACTCAATTTCAAATTGACCTACGTAAAATATTAGAGCTCAAACTTTCTTTGACAATAAATCACACCGTGATTAATCTGCAATGTTACATCTCCACGTCATTCTCAATGCATCTTACGGTGCCTGTTTGTATGATACTACATTATAAATTTGTTTTAAGGCGGTACAGTGTTTCAGTCGAATATTTTGAATGTTCCGAACACTTTGCTGTATTAACTTCGTGAACCTAAAAAAACGTCCCTTCGGTCAAATCACACGCAAAAGGTTTTGGGCACCTGATCGCTGATCTAATAAGAGTTGTTTCTTTCTACCACGTTCATTGCTATGAATGTTCGTAGCATGAAAATCAAATAAACAAGGACCCTGAAAAAATGCTCACGTGCTCTAATGCTCGACGATAGTTTACGCGTCGACTCATTGTTCAAAAATAGGAATGTCCGTCCAGGAAATATCTACGCACTTGGCATCCGCAGAAACTCTCTTACTGAGGTACGAAGTATCCGGACATGCTCCATTGTAAAGACGTGACGTCATCAATCTATGTTGATGTATAGACGGAACAAGGCGCGGCTCCGACTTTACGCCGCTGCGGGGGCGCTGCTGTCGGCACGAAACAGGTGCAGACGCCTCATCTGAGGCGAATGTGGTTTCTGCGCGCGCGCAGTGCCCACCCCTCATATCAGAAAACGCGGACTTGTTTGCACACAGCGCGTTGGCCTCTAAACAAATATGGTGGTTTAAAACATACGCGACATAATAGTCAGTTATCAAATTTAACTCGCGTATGCTTCTTGATTGGGATTCCAAACTGTTACGGTGTGACGTGAATCAAGGTTCCTCTAACGCAAGATTTTTTCTATGCTCTCTCAGAGACTTTGATATCCAGAAAGTACAACCAAATCGACATCCAGATTCAGAGTAAGTCTGTCTTAGCATCCTACGAGTATAATGCACTGCTAAGAATGGTACTGCACAGTGATTCGCTAAAGATGCGCCATATCTAAGATACAGCTCCAGCAGCTACGAAATTTCACTGCTGCAGCGTTCATCAGAAATTCAAAGACGTCAAAGGACATAATATATTAACCCTGAATGTGCAGTAAATGCCCAATTTTGTACAACTCATAAGGTTAAAGAACCTCCTTACACCGATAACCGTACTGGAGTTATTAAGAACCTGGGCACAGAATACTCTTTCTTATATTGTTGCAGTTGTACATTTTTGCAATTATTCATTTAGGTTGTGCTGCACTGTCCAAGGTGCATTATCGCAGAAGGGTGATGAAGTCCTCTTATTTTATTTGTATGAATACACTCTGCCAACCCACCAAAATATACAAGTATCAATCAATTCTACGAGTAATGTGTATTATACATTACAGTATAACACATAGAAAGCATTTACTAAATTCATTAAAAATCGACAAAAACAAAGAATTCAAAAGCACTTAAAGTTTCACTTGGCCTCTTGATTTTATATAATTTTCGAAGCTGTATTAATAAATTGAACATATTAAACGCCCCTTGCTATTCTCACTAAAAAAGCCTCTGCACCCCCCATACTGGTCTGCAGTTGGGTTGTAAACCAGGCATGCAAACTGGATACGAAGCCTCAGGGGTGCAATCTGGGCTGAAACAAGAATTGGCTTGTCTCGAAACAATCAAAATAATGAGTCATTCCTGATCAAACATCCAATTACCGTGGCTAAGGCAAGAATATAGGCCGGCTGGTTTAGTACAGATATTTCAACTCAAAGTACATTCAAAGCACGGGAGATATACAAACACGATGCTTCTTGTGTGGATTTTACCCATCTTTCACCTCTTTTCATTGTTAGATTGTCTAATTTCTGTAGCTCGTGGATATTGGCATAAGGCAGTCTTATTGGCGAATTCACACGCTTCGAGTATACAGCCCGGGTTATTTATGTGAGCGTGTGTATTGAAACTTTCTCAAACACTCGTGTCTTGCCGAACGTTCCCTTCTTCCGCAGAAAGGCATCTCCCATCGTCGATGTTGAATGAGACAGGTGAGCGCATCAGTCAACCCATCAGTTAATATATCTTTACGTAACCTCATTGTTTTGGTATTGGCGACTCCAGCAAAAGGGAAGACACCTAGCGCGGAAAGATTGACTGACCGGAATAGGTCCTTTCACGATTTTTGCGCACCCTCCCATGTGGCTTCCGTGATTACATGTTTTCGGCGGTTGACGCAATGGAACAGTTGTCCCGGCGACTCCGTTAGTCGTATCGCTGTGTTATCCGAGTTGCTCGGAACGCAAGTCACGCTACAGCGTGAGTTGCGTTTATCAGCGCCACAATCATTCCATCGCTTCCCTAAAAAAGGTCGAGCCTTTGGAAGCTCGATTACGCCAACACATTGCCGCAGGTTTGAAACGTAGTGAATACAAATCCGGGCAAACCATTTTGAGGTCGATGCTTTCTTGCTGAAACCCGAGCGTTGTGCGTTGACCTGACACATGGCACGGCACCAGTGGCGTAGCCAAGGGAGAGGTTTATGGGGCCTCAGACCCCCCCTCCCCCCTCTTTTCCGAAATCCAGCTTACTTTATAATTAGGGTTCGGAGTTTTCGGTTTAAACCGATAAAAACCGATAAAAGTACGCCGAATTCATTTTTGGAAATTCGGTTTTAACCGGAAAAGGTCAGTGTTTAGGTTCGGCAGTTTCAATTTAAACCGATAAAAACCGATACAATTTCGTCGAATCCATTTTTTAAAATTCAGTTTTAACCGGAAAAGGTCACTTTGACCGTCCAGTCGTACCGCAGAGCCGTGGCGAGCGTGTTTTCAAACTCGTTGTGAGGAAGACTGACTGGATGCAAGCTCTGCATGTTGTATTGTGCTTCAAAACGTCGCACCGTGTCTCTTTCGGCGATTTTGGCTCAGGCAGCCCGTCATCTCCTCAGCCTGCCAGCGACCAGTGTTAGCGTTGAGAGGGCGTTCTCGAAGCTCAGGGTCATATATTAACAGGAAAGAAATAGTGTGGATCAAGAAGGAGAACCTGGGGCAGTACATGTTTGTGTGTACTATAATGAGATCACGTATTCCTGATGTACAGAAGGTGAGGTTCCATGTTTTTGGGGCATAGGCTTCATATCTGACTTGTTTGTACTTCTGCGATTTTTTCTATTTCTTTTACAGTTGCACACATTTGCCAAATGAAGTGCCCATTTCTTTTTCAATGTATCTGTTCCGTTATTTTTTGAGTGATCACAAATATCAGAGCTACGTACAAGGATCATCTGATCCGGTGTCCGTTGGTGTTTATTTTATATTCACCGAAAAAAGCCGATAAATTTTTTCGGGCATAAATATACGCCGAAAAAAACCGAAAATTGAATTTTAAAATAAACACCGAAAAAAGTACGCCGAATTTTGAAAAAATAGAAACCGAAAACGCAGAACCCTATTTATAATACACACTTGCATTTTGACCCCCTTCCCCCCCCCCCCTTTTCCGCACCCCAAGTCATGGAGATCCCAGCCACCTCAACCCCCCCCCCCCCCCCAAAAAAAAAAATTCAAAAAAAAAAATTTGGGTATGCCACTGCACCTGTTTTAGACCGCCATGTTTTCCGGGTGGTGGCGACCCCTACAAGTCGCTGGAGTCGCCAATACGAAGCTGTGTGTCCCAATAATGTAATCAGTAGCAAGCTGCTCGAAACTCTCTGCACGTTACCAGGACAAGCCAAGTGCACCAAGGGAAGCCTGACCATCCTGGATGACGTCACTCCGGGCGGTATCAACACCGAAGCCAATCGCATCAACTTTGAACTTTCCCAGGGGTGTTCCTGCGACTTCTTGGGGCAAGGCAAGGAAGCACCACTGCAAAACCTCGTTCAGACTAAGCGTGCAAGCGCCCGGTGTTTTGAACCACCTATCCGACTGCACGTCTCCATTAGGGATGTCGCGAACCTATCGTGATTCGAGTTCAAGCACATTCGACTTTTCAGACCTTTGAATCCGAAACTTTGACGAAATTCGACGGAAGTTCGAAGAAAATTCGTCGTAAAGTTAAATTTTTGTGCGCATGCATAGAAAGTGACAACAAGCTGGCGCCGTCTGGCAGAGGAAGCGTCAAATATTCATCGGGTATATCGTCTCGACTATAAGCTAAGTCACTAAAAGATTCTACGTTTGTATTCATATTGCGCAAATATGGGTCAACATTTTCGACAATTTAAAACACTCCTTTTAAAAGTATATTTCACCAAATTTTTAATGTTTGCGCTGAAGTCAGGCAACACTGTTCAGAGAGTCGAACTCCGCCGAACTTCCTCCAAAGTTTGAAAGTTCGCCAGTAATGTCGAACATCAGTTCGACGAAAGTTTGCGACATCCTTATTTTCTATGCTTACCGTCAACGAACTTGTTTAGCAAGTGGCTATAGTTCGTTTCACCTTAAGTCTAGACGCCGCCGACGCTACGAGCTGATGGGACCTAACAGACAGCGTAAAGAGCGCAGAATCATGATGTTCGTCATGTTTCTGCACGCGTTCTATTATCGCTGAACCAATCAGAAACAGAACGCTCCTGTGACTCGCTTGATTGATTGGTCCCATTAGCTGATAGCAACGTTATTAGATTAGTTCAGTTACGGAACTGCTCATAGACGCTGCATGCATGAAGAGTACCCCCCTCACTCACCACGACTCGCCTGGCGTTGCTCGACGCGCCGCCGGACGGCTGCTTTGGTAACTGCAGTGGGAAGCGGGATACGTACGTTTTGAAGCACGGCGTCTAGATGGCGCTTCAGCTCTGCTCTTGGCTCTGCTCTTTGGAACGCACAGTTACCAAACGAAAATCTAGATGGCGCTTTGAACGACGGCAGGCGGATTGAAGAGAGTGAGGGGGGGTACCCCCTTCCGCGGGAGTTCCACAACTGAGGTAATCTAGTAACGTTGGCTGATAGCGTCGGCTACGTCTGAACTTAAGCTGGAACGAAGATGGACCACCATTGGGCCCCGGGAGTATGGTGCCTGGAACAAATCTCCGGCTGGTGTGTTTACCGCGTGTGTACGCCGCTAGAATCGCCGGCCGCGATTTTAGCGGCCTCACAGCAGCGGTAATGGATGTGGCAGACGCCTGTTCTGCTGCAGGCTGCTCTTCAGCTTCACACCCCATGGAAGTTCAAGCAGCCACGAGTTGGGACAACGCGACGACAGTGACACTTGCGGTCGCTCGTACTTCTTGCTATGGTTTAGCACCAACCTCTTGGATCGCAACATCCTACATCATGACACTTTGGTTGTGACGTCATTTGTGGCCCCTTCAGAACCACTTTTGGTGTATGAGTGGGATTGGATGCTGAACACAGCAGTCAAATACGCGTTCCAGGTACTGTACCGGAAGGGCCCCGCAGGATTTAACTAAATACGGTGATTCATTAACATCCCCGAACCTAAGGCTGGAAACGACAAGACATGCAACGCAAGTACACCGGGTGCAGCTGGTGCAAGGTGTGAAGATAAATCGAATAATCCCACAGTTTTCGATAGGAAAACACAAAATAGAAAGTTTTAGCAAATTGCTCCGATAACTCTGATGACGATTCCCGATAACAATACAATACATTTGGAATGCGTCGGTGGAGTTTCGTTATCGAAGTTGTCAAAACAATCTACGTAAACTTCCTACCGTCGAATACGGTGTGTTGTCCCTCTTTTCGCGCGTCTTTCTTCTCCCTCTTTAGCTCAGGTTCAGTCATGTCAAGTATTCACCAGCACGCTCTCGGACTCATGTTGTTTTATGGCGATAACCACTTTTTTTATAGGTACCGGCTACGCCGTCTTGCTCAGCGACAAGTCCGTGTCAGACATTGGGCGCTCTGTGCAGCTGGACAACACTTTCAAACTCGTTTCGCTAGACAGTGGCCTCACCAATCTGAGCGCTTGCTCAGATCATGACGTCATGATGTCCGATGGCCATGCCGCGAGCTACGGCGAAGAAGATGTCGGGTGCTCGGCCCCGCCCACGACGTGCCCTCGATGTCACAACACCCTGGTTCCCGAACTCTACCCTCTCATCTGCGACGCCCCGACATGTGAGTGTTTTTTCGTTTTGTTTTTTTGTACAATTTTTGAGGGTTTAAGCAACACAGTGCGTGGCAGGTCCAAAGCATCGCATTATCGTAAGGCAGTCAATGAGAGTGTGGCGTGAGTCCATAAGATCACCCAACATCCGAACACGAAGCAAGGAGCGTGAAGCTAATAAAACACTCCTTGCGTTTTTTTTTTTTTTTTTTTTTAAGTTGAAAGTGACCATAGTAATTGACTGGGCGAGAACGTACGGCATGTCCTTCAGTTGACCCACCTCCAGCGCAAAGTTTGTACATTGATAATTTTCCTGCCGTCCTCACTTAGTGACTATGTCACTGACAAAGTGAGAACGGCAGGAAAATGTTCTTCGGCAATGTTCTTCGGAAAGTCAGTGACCTCCCGAAGAACATTGAAAAGCTCTACATTGGTGCTGATTTTCGTGTGTCTCTTTGTTTCTGGCAGTGGTCAGAGTGCTCTCTATGAACCCGGCACACAGAGGTGAGTGATAAATAACGACAACGAGCAAACGCAGTCTTGAGAGCGTCGCCACGGCGCCACTCATGAACGACGGGAAGTTCAAAATAATTCGAGTCGATATCGTTCTTTTGTTGTTAATTATAATAATGTGAAATGAGTTGTGTCTTGGATATGGTTCCTCTGGTCCTCTCCCTCCGGATTTTAGTCCTCGTCCCGAGAGAGCGAGAAACATTAATTGTACTTACGCCGACAAGACCGGCATCAAGGTTTTAGCTACCCCAGCACCATTTCACGATGCCCCATTTTTATTATTGTGTTCCTTACTGACCAATGGTTGGCGTTCAAACGCGAACAGTGCTGTTAACGAATTGCGGTGGCCGTGTCTCTGCGCAGTACTTGCTGCTTCTCGCTCTAGTAGTGAAGGAGGCCCATATTATTAAGATAGTTTTAATTTGTTAGGCTTGGTTCTTGTTAGAGCCCGGTACTTTATCGAAATATTATACACTACTAAGTACACAGTTGATAATTTAAAGTTTCAGGTATATCAACCTCTCTGAAGAATTAACTAATGTAGAAGAGATACCACTATTGAATGTCAATTTCTCACAGTTTTTCGTTTTAACTCACGTGCTATGATCATACACCGTTCCATGTCCTAGTGGTGAAATAATTCAGAACGAACAGACGGCATCAAACGGTGCTAAGAGATAATGCCAGCAATCGGCATAGACGCAAAACGGCGTTCCGACTTCGGAAGTTACCAACGGAAAACCTATTGAGTTCAAGTTACAGTTACTTGAGCGCCGGGAAGATTAAGACTTAGAGCTCTTAGCCATGACCGGCTCTATGGCTCTATTTTGGATCAAATTATTCATTTACCTTTTTTTTCTGCAACTGATTGCGTTCTACCGCGTCGGCTGCCATCAAACTTGCACCAAAGCTTGCAATTTCATGCTCCCTTTTTAGGAATAAGAAAACTTACCGGAGTTCCACTAGTGAAACGTCTCATTTGTATAAGACATTTCTGGGTCCCATAAGCGCATGTGATCAAATAAGATCATATACGAACAGAGAAGGATATTATAAGAACAATTAAGAAGATGCAAAAACGAAATAAAAACTTTCTTATAAAATCTTAGATTGTTCTTATATGTTCTTATACGTTTCTTATGTGTTCCTATATGATCCTATTTGATTATAATTACCTATTGGACCAAGAAATTTCTCACACAAATAACTTTTTTACTCGTGAAACTCCAGAAAATTTTGTTGTTTTTACAGGGGAATCATAAAACTGCAAGTTTTGGTGCAAGTTTCATAGTATCCAACGTGGTAGCACGACACAATCACTTGCAGAAAAAATTTAAATAAATAATTTAATCGAAAATAGAGCCATAGCACCGGTAAAGGCTAAGAGCCTTTATCGGTGCTATGGCTATATTTGAGCCTTGACTGACCAAAAGATTTCTAATACAAATAAGACTTTTTAGAACGCAGCTCTTAGGCGGCCGTTTCCAGCTTGAGCGGCGACGCCGACGCCGTCGGCGACGTCGGCGCCGGCGCTATACTCAGCGCCAAAGTACAGCATTTCCGCTAAACTTAGCGGAAAAAAACTCCCGCTAAATTTAGCGCAAAAATTTCCTCACTGAATTTTGCGGAAAATTTTTCTCGCTAAATGCAGCGGGAAAATTTCCTCGCTAAATTTAGCGGCAAACCTTTTCCGCTAAATTTAGCTGGAAAAACTCTCCGCTAATTTTAGTGAAAAAATTTCCCCGCTAAATTTAGCGGGGCAATTTTTCCGCTACGTTTAGCTTGAAATTTAGCGAAACTTTCCCTCTAAATGGGGGGGGGAAGTAGGAGAGGAGGAGGGAAGGGTACAGATGAGGAGGAGGGGCATAATCTCCTCTCCGTACGTTCCCCTCCTCCTCCTCAAGAGCTGCGCTCTAATTCGGCGTTACAGGGGATTGTAAACGTCTTTCATCTTTTACTAGGGAATTGTATTGTCGTTATGCCTTTATACCGTATTTCCTGGTGAAACAACTGTATCATTGATCAACGAATGATATTCAGATGACACCGGAACGTTCTGCGGGAAAGCACGCGTCATCCAAGCTCACAGAGGAAACGTGGACGACTATGCGAAAACAATTTCTTACTCTCTCTTGGACAGCTGCAACTGCGACTACGTCACAAAGCGTGAGTGCGCACCACCCAGTAGCTCTTTTGTTTTTCAGACCTGAGTTAAAGGCCACGAAACATTGGTTTTGTAGATAACTAAGGGCGACAAGTAAAGTATAGCAGAGGTCTTGGGAGCATCATCTTCCTTTCACTGATTATACTTTCGTGTAGCCTAACATCGCTTCCTTCAAAGTATTACACCAGCCGGTACGTATCGGTTCGAATTACTCGACCTTAATGTTCGCTCATATTCTAGGAATGCCACCATATTGATAAAAAATATAATACATTCTGCTACCCTTTCTGTTTTCACCAACTAGGTTTAAAATGTATGATACAACCGTGTAAGACTAAACAGTGTCTTTGTAGGCTGAAGGTGGACACGCAGCCGTGTTCACAATATTTTCTATGGATTATCTTCCAGATACGGTCCTTGAGTTTATCGACTAACATACCGATCAATATGTTATTGAGGTAATTACCAACTAATGTATTAGCGCAGTGATTGGCTGAACCAGTTTATGAACTTGTCAAGTACATTATATTCCTTGCTGTCAAACTCAACATAAAGTATCCAATCACTATTAGGTCTCCTACTTTTCCTGGATGCCATGTTTGTTAAATACAAATCCGCAAATGTATTTTATTCAAATGTATCTATTTCAAATATGAAAGTCCAAGATCAACCCAGCATCAAAAGTCCTCAACAAAGCTCATGCTAGATAACACATAAACAAATAAAAATAAACAAATAAACAAATAAACATAAACAAATAAACATAAACAAATAAACAAATAAACAAATAACAAAATAATAATAAAAAATAAACATAAACAAATAAACAAATAATAAATAAACAAAAACAAATAAACAAAAACAAATAAACATAAACAAATAAACAAATAAAAAACAAATAAACAAATAAACATAAACAAATAAACATAAACAAATAAACAAATAAACATAAACAAATAACATAAATAAACTTAACTTAACAGCATTCAGTAACTGGTAAGATGACTTCAGTAAAAAGGTTAAAAATATGTCGGAAATAGCCCTGCAATTGTATTTGTACGTGAAACGTTCTTGGTTTTGCACTAGCGGTGCGAGTGCTAAACCAAGTGTATAGTGGAGTTAGTGGAGCTAGTGGTGAATTTGGGTACAGTTCACGTGACATGAAGCCTTGGGACGTTTTTTTTACCGCTAAACTTAGCGGGAAATTTGCGGTTACGCTTTCTGAGGCTTCACTTCATCTGAAAACATAGCTTATTAACGTTTTACGTTAAAACGCGTATGACTCTCTTCGTTACGTGGCCTACACTTCCGGCATCAGTTCACGACACCGTTTTTCTATCGCTAAGGTTTTGAAATTCCAGCAACCACGCTCAGAAAATGTATATTGTTATTTTACATACTCGCCCATTTCCACGCTATAATAATTAACCAATCAAATATTGAATTGTAAGTAATCGATTAACATTTTAAAACTTTTTAATCGCTCCACAGCTCTACTTCTGAACTTTTATAATGTCCTTGTCTTAATGGTCTCGTGCAGCGTCCAGACAGTACTACGCGTTCATCAGCGGTCCCAGGCCATCCCAAGGATTGACGCTCAAGCACCTGGTCATGACAGACCAGGTTCACATGGTCGCGTACAGCTACCGCAACGCTAGGCTACTGGACGACGCCCTGAAGATTTGCCAGACCCCAAAGGCTGAGAAAAGAAACGACGGCTTTGGATACGTTGGCGACCAGGCATACCAACAGCCCCAAGGACACGCTGCCGGTTATGGCGGGGCGTCTTCTTCCCTGTATGCTTCTGGTTCCGGCCACGGCACATCAGGTGGTGCCTCGTACCCCTCCGGCCACTCTCAACCAAAACCCGCCGGTTACAGCCACGTTCAGTCGCCCGGAGGATATGGCGCAGCCTACGATCAGTCATCAGCGGCAGCACAACCGTCAGCTTACGGCCCTGGTGCAACTTATGCTCCCGCTCGTGCCCCTAGCTATGGTGCTACCTATGCTCCCGCGCATGCCTCTAGCTATGGTGCAACCCCAGCATCGGCTTATGGTAGTCAGAGCGCCCCCTACGGACACGCACAGTCTTCAGGGTATGATGCATCTTACAAGGCTGCTGCCTCACCTGTAAGTTACGGTTCTCCTCCTGGTTACGGCTCCGCCTATGCGCCAAGTCATTCTTCCGGTCATGCAGCGAGTTACACATCGGCCCCTTCTTACAGTTACAGTTCTGGAGCTCCTTTGGGTTACGGGGCCAGTTCTGGTTATGGTACCGCGTCCGCGCCAAGCTACGGTTCCTCAGCTACTCCTTCTTACGCCGCCGCGACAACCTCTAGTTATGCTAGTGCTGCGCCAGCCCTAAGTTATGGCCATCCTGACTCCTCTGGGTATGGACCTAGTTATGCTTCTGGTCACGGGTCCGCCGGCCCCACCTATGCTGCCGCTCCGTCTCCAGGATACAGCGCCGCTGGTGCTGCTTACGCTGTCACTTCAGCTCCTGGATACGGCTCTTCTGGCTCAGCTTATGGTCCTGCTCCTGCTCATGGCTACAACTCCGCCGGTGGAGCTTACGCTCCAGCTCCATCATCCAAACAAGGCTATGCTGGTGCCACTTACAATTCTGCTCAAGCTCCCGGTTATGCCTCCTCTGGAGTTGCCTATGCTGCCGCTCCGGGTCCTGCGTATGGTGCCTCTGGTCCCGTTTACGCTGCAGGTGCAGCACCTGGGCATGGCGCAGCTCCTTCCAGCTACGCAGGAGCACCGGCTCGTAATTATGGACATGGTGGATCGGCTTCTGGTTATGGCGCTGGATACCATACAGCTCCCAGCTATGGTTCTTCCCCTTCTTCAAACTACCCTGTTTCTGGAAGTTATAACAACAACGCTGATAAATATCCCTCCCAACCTCAAGCGTATGGTGGTGGTCCACGGGGCGGCTACAGGGCACAAGGTAACTACGCGCAAAATGGCGGAGGGTACGCCTCTTCGGGTGCGTCTTACGGAGCCTCCTATGCCACCGACACAACATACGCGCCGTCATATGGCATGTCCGACTACGAGTCTTTGTATCCCAGCGAAGAAGATTATGCTCCCGTCATATCCTACATGCCAACGTATGCCCCACTTGACGAGTATAGCGCTCAAACCGCTGCGAATGCCGCTTACGCCGCCCCATCATATAACGCAGGATATGGAGCAACTTACCATCAACAAGGAGCTTCAGGATCCTATGCTCCCCCCGTATATGCACCCCAGTCTTATCCATCCGGTAATGCCCCGCAAGTTCACGTAACATACAGTGTTTCTTACTCCCCCGGATCGGCATCGCATGGCCCTCCAGCCTATGCAGCTCCCGGCTATAAAAATCCTGTGACAGCGGCTGGTTACCCTGCGCCCGCTTCGTATGTCCCTTCAATGGGACACTATGGAGGTGCTGCAGCGCCCTCCAGTGCATCCTACAATTCACCAAGTAGAGACTACAACAACGCAGCAGCTTCGTCCGGCGATTACTCGCAAGTCCAGCACAGTTCATCAGGAGCTTCATACGCTCCAGTCGCATATCAGCCGCATGCTAGAGGCTACGAAACTGGAACAGTTCCCTCAAGTGCTTACTATGCCCCCGCTCCGTACAGTGGGTCAGGTGCAAGCTACAAAGCAGGCGCGGCTCCCGTAGCTGCTCACTACGCCCCCGCCTTCCGTGGTTCCTCAGCTGGAAACTATGGCGCTGGTGCAGCCCCGTCCAGTGCCTTCTACGGTTCTTCAGCCGGAAGCTACGGAGCTGGCGCAGCTCAACATGGTGCTCCCTACAGTTCTTCCGCAAGAGGTTATGGAGCTGCCGCGGCACCGTCCAGTGCCTCCTATGCTCCGGCCTCCTACGCTCCTCCCTCCTATGGTTCTGCTACTGCAGGTTATGGAGCTGGTGTAAACCCGTCTAGTGTACCTTATGCTCCTGCCCCCTACAGTGCAAAACCTGGAAGCTACGGAGCCGGTGCCAGTCCGTCTAGTGCCTCTTATGTTCCAGCCTCTTACGGTCCTTCAGTCGGAAATTACAAGGCTGGTGCTGCTCCGTCTAGTGCATCCTACGGTCCTTCAGCCGGAACCTACGGAGCTCCTGGAACCCCGCCTGTTAGCTCTTATGCCCCTGCTTCCTACAATTCTGGATCTGGAAGCTACAGGGCTGGTGCAGCTCCCTCTAGTGCTTCTTATGTCACACCCTCTTACGGTCCTTCAGCTGGAAGCTACGGAACTGGTTCAGCCCCATCCGGTGCCTCTTATGCTCCCGCCTCCTACAGTTCTGGAGCTGTAAGCTACGGAGCCGGTGCTGCTTCGTCCGCTACTTCATACGGTTCTTCAGCCGGAAGCTACGGAGCAGGTGTAACTCCGTCTAGTGCATCTTATGCACCTGCCTCCTACACTTCTGGAGCTGGAAACTACGGAGCCGGCCCTGCCCCGCCCAGCGCCGCTTATGGTCCTTCAGCCGGAATCTACGGGGCTGGTGCAGCCCCGTCGAGTGTCTCTTATGCCCCTGCATTATATGATTCTGGAGCAGGAAGCTATGGGGCTGGTGCTGCTCCTACTGGTGCCGCCTACCCACCATCCTCTTACACACCTTCAACCGAAAGCTATGGATCTGGTGCAAGTCCGTCTGGTGCCTCCTATGGACCTGCCTCTTACAGTTCTGAAGCAGGAGGCTACGGCTATGGTGCAACTCCGTCCAGTGCCTCGTATGCCCCGTCCGCTTATGGTTCTTCATCGGGAAGCTATGCAACTGCTGCCCCTTCGTCTGGTGCATCTTATGCCCCTACTTCCTACAATTCTGGTTCTGGAACCTACCGAGCCGGTTCAGCTCAATCCAGGGATCACTACGCTGCGGCGACTCGCCCATCGGTACAAAGTTCAGATAATTATTTCTACTCTGGGGCTGGTGCTTCTTATAAGCCCCCGTCTTCTAACGCATACAACAGCGGTTCGTCTTCAAAATCATACAGTTCAACACCAGCCTCGAGTGCTGGAGCCTACTCTACCTCCTCCTACGGCGTGGCTCCATCGTACCGTTCTCCTGCAACCACAAGCTCAGACAATTCGCACAAAGAAGAATCATACACGACATCCCAGGCACCTGTATCCTATAAAAGTTCTGACACACAGTCAGTGAAACTTTCTCCAACGTACGAAGCGCCGCATCTATCGTCTCTTCATAATGGAGCGACAGCGTACGGCGTATCGCAGCCGCCTTACGAATCTTCACACGTATCTTACGCACCACCGTCATACGCGCAGCCGGTGCATAGCCAACCGTCTTACGTCGCTTCGTATGCTCCCCCAGCTTACGCTGCTCCGTCGTATGCCCCTGCAGGGTATGAGGTGCCGTCTTATGCTCCGCCGCTTTATGGACAGCCTTCCAACGGGCCATCTCACGCTGCACCACCTAAAGGTCATTCATCTTACGATGTGTCATATGCTCCTCCCGCGTACGCCACACCGTCTTACGCTCCACCGCAGTACGCCCAACCATCCTACAGCCCACCACCTTACGAGTCGTCATATGCTCCTCCGGCTTATGCCTCACCAACGTATGCTCCGCCGGCTTATGCCTCACCAACGTATGCCCCGCCGGCTTATGCCTCGCCAACGTATGCCCCGCCGGCTTACACCGCACCATCGTATGCCCCGCCATCTCATGCCGCACCGTCGTACGCTCCACCAGCTTATGCCCCACCCCACTATGCCGCACCGTCCTACGTTCAGCCATCTTACAGTCATCAGGCTTATGACTCGTCGTACGCACCTCCGGCCTATGCTCCACCATCATACGGCCAGCTGACATATGCCTCGTACGCTCCTCCAGCTTACGCCATGCCCTCGTATGCTCCACCGTCCTACGCTCAGCATTCCTACAGTCAACCACAATACAACCCAACGTACGCCCCACCGTATGCTGCACCCGCTGTGCCCTCTTACCACCAACCATACAGTCCGCCATTGTATGGTGCGTCATACCCACAAGGATCCCAGTCGTACGGTAGTCCCTCCAACAGCCAACCACCACACAATTCGGCATACTCCCAGCCAGCGCACGCCCCAGCATCTTACAACCAACCTGCTTACGGAGGATCGTACGCTCCGCCCGCCTACGCCGCGCCGTCTTATTATCAACCAAACTACAACTATGCCCCTGCACCAACTTACGAATCGTCGTACGCACCGCCGTCGTACGCAGCGTCCTCTAACTACGCGTCGGCGCACCAAGGAAGCGTATCGCACGCACCTCCGCAGTACAATGCCGCACCGGTGTACAACCCGCCCGACGCAAACTACGGGGCCCCGGCCGCGCCAGTTTATGGTGCCGCCCCTCAGAGACCCCAGTACGGAAGTCATGGAAAGCCAAAGGGCGGATACGGTCAAGCCCCATACGGCAAGCCTCCGATGCAAGCGGTAGCCGTGAGCTACACTATGCCCGCGCTTCATCCATCAGAATACCAGGCGCCCATCGCCGTAGGCGGAGGCTTCTACGGCCATCTCAAACAGGGACACGTCAAGGCTGCTCCCGTGGCCCACGTCAACTCCGCGCCATCTTACGGTGCGACATCCGCTCCTAATTACGGCGCGCCGGCGTCGTCCGGTACCAGTTATGGAGGTTCGCACGCACCTCCCGCTGGAGCTCCATCCTATGGTGCAGCGCCCAGCTACGGCAATGCAGGATCTCTTTCTGGCTCATTGTCTGGCGCGTACTCACCGGCGCCCTCCAGTGGTGGAAACTACGGCAGCGCCGCTTCGCCCTTTTCAGGAACATCATATAGCGGTGCCGGAGGTTCCAATTACGGATCATCGGCTCCGTCCTACAACAGCGCAAGTAGCGGCAGCTCCACCGCAACCAAGACGCAGACAGTAGCGAGTGCGGCGTACACCACAGCGTCGTACGGGGTAACCGCGCCCTCCAGTTCAGCTTCCTACAACACGCCTACCGACTACAGTGGTCCCGGTACTCCATCCAGCTATTCGGGACACGCAACGTCGGCAGCTCCGGCGAGCAGCCCTTCAAAGTATTCGACTACGACGTCGCCAGTCAGCTACTCTCAGCCGTCGTCGCCAACGTACGCAGCCCCCAGCTCTCCTTCTTCGAGCTATGGAGCAGCCGGGAGCCACGGATCGAGCTACACAACGACTAACTACGGCGCACCGAGTTACGCACCAGCGAGCCACGCAGAGCCCTCCTACCCAGGCCAGAGTTACTCGGCGCCAAGTTACTCCCCTCCGACTTCATCCGCTTCGGCCTATGCACCAGGTACACAGGCTGGAGGCAGTTACTCTGCGCCGATCTATGCCGCGCCGAGTTACTCGCCACCACACCAGGCAGCACCGAGCCATGCTGGCTACTCTGCTCCACCAGGTTACCCCAATTCAGTAACCAACGCAGCACCAAGTTATTCCGGAGCAAACTACGCTCCACATGCTGAGGCTTCCGGTAGCTACGCAGCACCCACCAACTCTGCCCCGAGCTATTCCGCTCCCAGCTACTCCGCCCCAGCTCCCTCCCTGGTGACATATGCCGCTCCAAGTTACCACGCACCATCTGAGGCAAAACCGAACTCCGCTCCGACTACCGCACCGGCGACCTATGCCGCATCGAGTTACTCGGCACCAAGTTACTCTCCGGCAGCACAGTACTCCGCCCCAACTTTGACACCGGTGACCTACGCAGCACCCAGTTACTCTGCACCAACTTACTCGGCACCGAGTTACTCGGGATCAAGTTACTCTCCGGCAGAACAGTATTCCGCTCCAACGTCCGCACCGGCAACCTACTCTGCACCGAGTTACTCCGCCTCAAGTTACTCTCAGCCTGAGCAATACTCCGCGCAAGCCGCTACGGAGGCTAACTATGGGCCGCAGGGTCACCCCTCGACTGGTAACGCGGCGCCCAGTTACTCGGCGCCAGCCTACTCTGCACCAAGTTACTCCACAGCTAGTTACCCCCAGTCAGCCCCTGCAGAAGCAAGCTATGCGCCGGCATCTCAGTACGTTGATTCTCCTTACGGCAGGGAGAGACAGTCTTCCAGTTACGCTTCCCCCGCCGGGAATGGTCCCTACAGCGGACGTGCGGCTTCGTATCATGAGCCGCAGCATTACGAAGCAGTGACTCAGGATAACTACAAACCGAGCTGCCCACCGGCACCCAAGACTTGTCCTGTCTGCGTTCGCGGCCCATCCAAGAACCTTCTCGAGAACGTCTGTGGCTACGACCTCAGTAAGTGGTTTTGTTTGTTTGCTTTTATCGCTGGCAAACTTTGCACTATACGTCGTTCCACCTGAAGTACGAGAGTGGCAGGGAGCGAGCTTCTGGTTTGCAGTCTACCTGCAAGCATAGCTCCGGGCTACATGCTCGTGTTCCATGTTTGGATAAAGCGAAACAAACTAAAAATAGAGACATTGCTACAAACACCGCATTCGCTGAGGATGCGTGGTGTGAACACGTTACATGCAAAGCGACCGCAATGCCCCCTGCCGCATCGGCTTTCAAACAGGTAATCAATTTATATCTCAGAGGAATCGGCGAACCTCCGCAAACAGGAAGGCTTTTACGCTGCTTAATCACTCGTTTCTAAGCGCAAAGAGCATGCCGGGGATGATCATCGCACAAAATTGTATTTGTTGATTTCTTTGTTTATTTGTGCATTTATTTATTTCTTTATCTCGCACGTCCAAAAGCATTATTAAGGGAGTGAAGATAAGAAATAACGGCTAAACCATCGCATTATTATCTAAACAACAAAAAATGCTTTTTAATTGACGAGCTCCATTTGCAATGTTAAAGTAAGGAATGACACTACGGTGTTTTACTCAAAGCCATATTCGTACACCAAGTGAATGGGAGTTAGAATTGAGTAGTGCACTATCATCACCGTTAAAAGCGCCCGTGTGTTTAGGTTTGCGCTGCGCTGTGGTGGCTAAGAATAATGCAACACTAGTCATTTTGATCTACTATTCGCACAACGCAAACCTAAGGGTTCCCTTGTATGCTCCTGGGCGACGATTTCTATGAACTGTAGGCGTATTGAAATAACACTTCAGACCTGACGTGTTTTGGGACTTTCTCAGCCCTTCAAACCGGTTCATCCCATCAAACCCTTCAGCCCTTCAAATCCCTTCAGCCCTTCAAACCCCTTCAGCCTTTCAGACCCCCTCAGCCCCTCAACCCTTTAGACACCCAAATGACTGTGAACCATGGAGCAAAAATGCAGTTTAAAACGTGCATTGGAAGCTGGCGGTGGCCGAGATTCTGCTCCGTGAGCTTGCGCCGACTCCGCTGGCGTCGGCAGTCATCCGTTTCCTACCACAGGATGACTACCGCTGGCGTCGGTAGTCATCCTGCAGAATCCCTGTAGACGAGGACACAAATCGTTTGGCCAAGCCGGTCTATGGGTGGACACCGTCTGCTACTATCGCAAAAACTGCGTCAGCACGGGGGTTCACTTCTCGACTACAACTTTAACAAGCCCGCGCCGCTAGTGCTGCTTGAGCAGTCTCTTAGCAGCTAGGCAGAAATAGGCCTACCGGACCGGTTGCTCGCCAGGTCAGACCTCCTCTTCTCGTCAAATCCACACTCGCTCAATTCCTTGAACACACGTAACTCCTGTCCAAACTGTAATCATAAGCATTTGATCAAAACCAGAAACATACATTTTAACAAGGACTCACCCAAACTCCCGGCGCGTCGATCCACCAACTCGAAACAAAAAAAAGCGAGGAGCCCTCTGCGGTCTGTCCATTAATCTCTATGACGATTGCTGGATCCCGCTTCCACGCCTGGTCGCTGCAGCGCGAGTGAAGCCACCGGACGGCCATCCTGGTCATAGACGAGTTGCGGTTTGGCTAGTGAAGCAGAGGCTGGCGGCAGCGTGCTGAAGCCACATTTTCTGCTCTTTCGTCGTCATTCCCCAAACAAGTATTTTAAGACACTTTGTAGGCATTGAGACTTGCTGTTGAGAGCACGTGGAAAATCTTACGAAGGCGCAGTGCCACTTTAAAAATGCAGAACTTGTCGAAAGCAAGTTTCGCTTGTCTCGCGGCAAGATCAACGCTTCCTTGGCATGCCGAAGTGCCGCCTCTCCGTGCCTTTTCACGCTTAGATACCGATCAAAATGCGACGCCGTGTAGATGTGTTTTGCGAGTGCAATGTGCGTGAAGCCGCGTGTGCGTCTGGAGTCGCGTTTTACTTTAGTCTGACGACTGTACTTGTAACTTGCGGCTCTCGCGTCCAGTGGCGACGGAAGAGGGGGGGGGAGGTACGTCTTTTTTCAAGTCGTTAGACGGTTTACAGAATAGCGCGCACACAGCTCCTCATCACTGATCAGTGGTCTGGGTCATAATCAAAAACTGCACGTGACATCGAGTATGAGCGCGGCTCGCCTAATTGTGATTGGTCAACCGATTGCACACGACCATATGGGCCGCGCCTCAAAGATTTTCAATCTTGCTGTCTTGTATTTTTGCCTTCGAAAACCATCCTTGCTCCACAGCGTTGCTCTATTTGTGCTTCCATGTGATTCATCAGAGTAGATTTCGAACATAGCCATGGTTAATAGTGCATAGGAGCAACCGTACAGATTGTATTCCCCCTTTATTGATAACAAATTGCCGGAACAGCTGAACGATTAAAGAATCCGCGGCTGATATATGATGCAAAGTACGCGTGACACACCTTCACAACTTGGCCGCGGCGCCGATTCTTGATCGGTGTCCTAGAGTGTGAAGGCCCAGGAACACAATGTTTCGGCGCGCCAAGGGAGCTTCGATCATGCCGCGAGACCGGCGAAGCTTGCTTTCGACGAGTTCTGCCTTTTTCCTGCGGCACTGAGCTTTCGTAAAATTTTCCACGTGTTCTCAACGGCAAGCCCCAATGCTTACATAGGGTCTTAAAACACTTCAGCGAATGACGGCGAACTAGTAGAAAACGTGTCTTCAGCACGCTGCCGCCAGTCTCTGCAGCGCTAGCAAAACCGCTGTTCGTCTACCAGCAAGATTGCCGCAATAGCCGTCCGGTGGCTTCACTCGCGGAAGCGGGAAGCACTATCCAGCAATTGTCATAGAGATTAATGGGTCTTCCATCGAGACGGTTCAGAGTACGTATACGCTGTGCGCTACATATTGGGCGGTGCCTTGCGTCACCTGCCAGTGTAGGCTTGCGGCGCCTCGCCGCATTTTGCTAATGTTCTTCGTGGCGTCTGCTGGGTGGCGTGATTTACTCTGAGGCAAAGTTGGGATTATGACACGGCGTACTCGCCTAAGAGTCGCATTGAAAAATACAAAGGAAGGCTATATATGCCGCTGACGGGAAGTTGCAAACCAAGAGTTGTCAGTTTGCGTTGAGTGAGTGTTTCTTTTGGCTCTGTGTTTTTGTCCTTAGACTGATTGTCTTTCGAGTGCACTGTTACGTAGAACATCATGACGACGAGTTGATGGACGCCCGACGCAGAGAGACGGGTGTTTTGTCCAGCGCCAAAGAGTGCCACCCTGACATTTTTCAACCCGCCTGTGCGATGACCTTCATTGCCAGTGGATTCAAATCCGTCAACGACGCCCCAGGGTTAATTCGAAACATAATGAAAGCCAAGCATTTACACAAAAAGCTGGCAATCAAAATAATAAAGAAGCATTACACTAAACCCTGAAGCATATATCCTGATCTCCCCCACAGACCTGTTAAAACGCGTTTGATGGGTGCTGTGTTTTCATAGAAAAGACGGGGGCACACCTTACAGGCCTCTCAAAAACTATGACGGGTCTCTTACACCCTTTAGAAATTTTTTAAGGTTACGTCAGGCCTTTTAAAAAAATTCGACGGATATCTCAAAACTCTCAGAAATGTTTGAAGGGCACGTCAAAACATTTCAGAAATCCTGGTGGACCTTTTAGACAAATTTTTAATAGGAAATGACTGTTTGCAAGTAGACATTAAAGGTGGCCTAAAAGTTAGTTTGTATGTAACGTGTCCTCACCACGTGCCTCATCGAACTCTCGTAGCTCGTAACACCAGGGGCCGCTAGGAACCTGAACGCGCTTACCAAAACCCTGCCAAGCTCAAGCATGTGCGAACGCAAGCAAGAATCTTTTGTCATTCTTTTCATCTTAATTGGCGTTGAGAAATATTTGAAGAGCAACCTGCGCAAATGCTTTATTGAACAGACGTCTCGGGAATAAACTTCTCTACTTCAATTAACAATGTGTAGCCCGTGGTACATAGCAAGAAGCCTTCTGAAAATCTACTTGCCGTCCAGGCACATAGAGTGCTAACCTTTGCAAACTAAGAAATTAATCTGGCGAGAAATAAGGGTGGTATAAAGAATCCGACCTAAAGCGTGTTAAACTCAAAACTCCTCAAATTTTAGGAAACAAAACGATATTATCATTTTAACCAGAAACCTTGATTAAGTAGCAGAGTTTGAACGCCATCTTTGAATAATTTCGTTGTCAATTCGTTGCCACCGTTTCTTACACCTTGTCCTAAATGTTTGCACGCATAAACGGCGACAAATACCTTATCCTCGTCAACGACTTGCGCACAACATCGATATTCCATAAAATTCATACCGATCACCTAATGTTTAAATAATCCTACATAGATGCAGAGTTTGTAGTTTGCAATAGCTAAATAACCCTTTATTCGGCATAATAGGAGAGAGGTTTAGAATAGGGGGCCTCTTTACTTTGGGTTCCTGGGTACCTTGGCGCGTTGCAATACGGATGCCCAAAACTTCAGCGCAGCAGGCCCAGTGCGAGGCCCCAAACTGTTGGATAGCACCAAAGCGGTAGGGCCCCCCAATTCCAGACACGTAAATACGTGGATGTTAGGTGGCTTTTTTCTAATCCCTACGGGTTTTTTTTTTTTTTTTTTTTTTTTTATTTTGCAGTTGTGGAAGGAGAGGTGAACTACCCACCGCAGCCAAGCAGAGGTAGGTGTTAACCGCTTCTTTTACAAGACACACATCAGAAAATGCCAGCAGAGGGAATTGCTTTGCTCATGCACCGGTTTCGCTCCAGAGTACGGAGGACTTTGCTCCGAGATGTGCATTGGAGACGCGCTTCGAGGCCGCAGCAAGAATATCCTGGACAAGATCCGGTTTTCTCTCAACAAGTACTGCCCCTGCCATGCGACTGCTTTCAGTAAGAAAACAGTTTGAATTACCATTGACTGTCATTTTCTTTTTGTGTTCTTTTTGTGGTAAATTTTCGGGCTCAACATATAAAACTTGCTTCAGCTCGCTTATGTTCTAGTCTCTTTTTTCTTCTTTTGTAATATTATTTATAAAAGTTTTTCAGCTAATAAATTTACGGGTCAATATGGACACCTTAGGGTTTGGTTACTGCAGTTCCTGGTCTATTGATGACTGCAGTTTAAAGATGTCAATAGACAAAAAGTTTAAAGATGTCAATAGACAAAAAGTCAGGGGTCTCAAACATGCTGCCCGTTGGCCTGCCCGAGGGCCGCCTGTGGCTCGCGACTCGCTCGGGCGCGGCCCGCTGGCAAACGGCTGCGAGTCCAGGTTCCCATGTCTCGAGCGCTAGAAATGTCATGCTCCATAGGGATCTCATGTCGTCGATTAATTTTCACTCTAAAAGTAGCTCTGCTCTTTTAACGTAATCACATAGTTTATAGTTATCGGTGTTCATGTTGCCTTTGTTTCGCTTTATTCTTTGCTTTCTAGCTTTTTGTAATAAACAACCATTTCTCTATTAGACTGCAAGCGCGAGGTATTATTGAAGGATGCATCTAGGTTGCGCGCGCTCTCGATTAGAAAAAAGCAACTGTCAAAAATTAAGCTACAAACTCGGGGTTCTCGGCTGCAAAAAAAAAAATATCACCAATAAAAAACAAGTATTTGTTCTAGTGTTGTAATAAAAATCTCTAGAAAAGCAAGATATCAAATGAACTGATTGTTTTTTTAAGAAACATGCTGAGCTTGATGTATTCCTGAGTGGATTCGGCAACGGGAACGACAGTGTACTTGCTCTCTTGTTCTATTAAAAAGGCCAACACGTTGGCGGGGCGGTGTCATCTTTATTATTGTTATCACATCAAGTCAGGGTCCAAAGTAGTGATATAAACAAATCAAATCTAAACACGTCACTGGCAGGTTCACAAGTTCTCTCTCCCCCCCCCCACCCCCACCCCCTCCCCCCGTCTTATTTTGGCCTTCGACTTTTCCGGTCTGAAATATCTGGCCCCCAGGCTCAAATGAGTTTGAGACCACTGCTCAAAGTCTATTGAGTTGTAGTTCTCAAATATACCTTCAACTGCATGCGCAATAAACGATTTATCTCAAGTCATTTTTCTTACACTAGCTAAACAAGCAAGACGTTTAAAAACACGAACAGAATAAACTAGATGCTAAAAGGACACGGCGCTGTCCTGTTAGCATCTATTTTCTTCTGTAGCTGCATTTATGCGTTTTAAAAAAACAATGTCAACCAACTAGACCAACTTGACGTTTTATCTCGGTTTCTGAGTTGACCAATTCTTTGATGGTAACCCTGACAATAAACGGTACGAAAAAAATTGTTCAGTCTTCATAAGGTTGTTTGATAAAACAAAAAATCCGATAAAAGTTGAAAGTAGCAACCGACATTTGATTAAAAGACAGCCTGTCCAGGATGAAGATCTTGCGACCATAGAAAACAACGTTCTTAAAGAAAATCCATAAAAGAGTACAATGAACAAGAATTGGTGTATTTAGCCTCAAGACCATAAGGTATCCAGGTCCTTAAGCCAAACCTAATTTCTCATGCTGTGACTTTCGAATGATCCCTTTTTTTCCCGCCAACCAATTGGCACGCAGGTTTCAACAAGGTGATCGTGCTCACCAATCGGCACAGCTGGCAGACGCACGGTGGCTACCACAGCCAACTCCAGCTGGACCACAGTACCTTGGTGCTCGACCACAACGTCGAAAACCTCAAGGTGCTCAAGGCGGCCCTGGCACGTTGTCCCGACCTGCGGTACCTGCACGGGCCATACGGCGACGAGGCCTACAACGGTCCCGCAGGATGTCCCGACGCGTTCGACGAATCCTGTCCTGACTGTCCGAAGGCCTTTGTTACCGAGGACGTGACCCGGGACCTCTGCTCGTCTGACTACGGTGGGTGCCCACGGACTCGTTGCCGCTACTCCGCTTTATTTGAAGCTCGGACCGCAGCCGACGCTACGGTTCGAAGGCAGCATTCAACGAGCGTCAAAATGTGCATCGTCACTGCGCATTCATTGCGCGTTATTGTATTTTGTATATGCAAGCGCACAAAAACGATATAAGCGTCGTGACGATACAATTTTGGCACTGCTTCATTAACTCCATTAGATAATAGCGTCGGCTGTAGTCGGAGTGAAGTAGGGTAGACACCCTAAAGAAATTTCTTCTTTATTTTAAGTTTCCCGTAATACAGAGACGCGAATCGTGATGAGCAACAAAAGGATCGCAGCGATTGGCGAAGTTCAGAAAACGATGAGGTCTGAAACGTGTAGGGACGGTGAGCAATCGATGCATCATGCTCGATATCAGAGCACACGTATCGCATTTTTAAGGCCTAAAATGCTTCTTTGACGGAATCCCCCAACCGCAAAATATTGACCTTTTGTCCGTCCGCCCGTCCGTACATTTCTCGTTAAATTTAGCGGGGAAACTTGAGTGACGTTTAGGTCACGGGGCGTCAATTGACCTACACAACAATTCAGTTTTCCCACTATATGTTCCTGGAAGATTTATACCAGGTGGCCTGACGTCACGTGCCCTACCACCATTTCACTCCTGCCCCGCCAAATTTAGCGAGAAAATTGGTGTCACGCGACTTGACATCATGTGTCCTATACACCAATTTAGTTTCTTCGCTAGACTTAGCGGGAAAACTGGTCTCACATGACCTATTCATCAATTCGGTTTCTGCGCTATATCCAGCAGGACATCGATGTTGCGCGATCTACTCACCAATTCGCTTTCTCCGCTAAATTTGGCTGAGAATTTCATGCCGCGTGACCTGACGTTACGAGATCTGTACACCAATTTGGTTTCCCCCCGCTCGATCTGGCGGGGAAGTTGGTAAAAATGAAGGTTCTTCATTCGCCGAAACGGCGGTTTAATATTTTCTAAGTTGAAACGTGTCATGCATTAGAGGACTTCGAAGATAAAGGTCGCTGACAATTTCTTTTTTTGGTCTAATCTCGCTTCATCACTTGCCGGAATCTTTCTATCGTACGCCATGATTGGCTTTCCTCCGGTCCTGCAGAAAAATAAAACTCACAGACTTTTTTGTTTTAGATAAAGGGAGGGGGGGTCAAGTTTCTTTAAACGTTTTACTGCGTGTTTGTGCATTTAAACAAAGGGTATTAGTGCGAATCTATTTGGACCTACAGTCAGGACAGTTGAAACCAAATATTTTTTTTTTCATAATGGTAGTATTGAAGAAACATCGTCGTTCTTTTTGTTCTCTTCCAGCTTCTATCGTCGCCATTGGTTTGGACGACACGCAGATGGCCGAGCACAAAAATGGTAACGTTTTCTGAACTATCATTGGCGTGTTGTTTGAGTTACTTTTTTTTTTTTTTTAGAAACTTGTCATCAAATTTACCAAAGCATCTTCCATCCACCAGAGTCACAAAAGACCTCGTTTTTTGTGTCATCTGTCGTGATAGTTGTTAGGGTTCTGCCGTATAAAATCTCGACTGAACAACTTTTTTTAGGCCAATTCATCTGGAAGCGACCATACCTTCCAGAGGTCCAGATCAACGGTGAGACAGATGCTTTTTTACTCTTGAAATAATATGGGCGTAATCCGTTGTTTTATTGCAGCCATCTCGCGACCTTCATCAAACTGTTTCCTCAAAACAATTTTGTCTTCGCCTCGTTTATATCCGTGTCATAATCCTGAATAGGAGAATAACAGCTCGCATCTCCATTAATCTATTTTTTTTTATTTATGTAACATAACCCCCTTCGCCATATTTTATAACATCCTTCAGCACGTAAGAAATGTAGACAAACTGTGACGTATAACGCGTTGGCAAAATGGCCGTTTTCCACTCTTTCTGTTTGGCACATTTTTTACACAAGTAACTTCAAAGATTGTCCTTTAAATTATCCACAGCACAAACTCTTGAGCTTTGTTCATCCTGGACTAACACAGAATTGGAAACGACAATTTGGCACAGCTAATGACTGAGTAAAGTACACACGCAGCAATATTAGTTTAGGAAAATGTAGCACGGGCTTCTGTTTCGTTTTTTACGCTATTATACTTTAATCTCAGCAGCAAGACCTAGTGGCTTATTTTAGAATGTTTTGTTAAGGTCGATTGGGAACCACGCGACTGTACGTAAACAATGCGCGTTACATGCTGCCTATTCTTAGAGAGCAAAAGAATTCAGCATGTGGTTGTTGACCTCTACTATGACGCTTTGAGACGCGTCGTCCTAGAATTTTACACCTCAAGTGTGCCTCAAGGTTCGCCGAACTGTGCTTAATTTACCTTTATTTTAATTTTAGAGGAAGCCGGCTTTGGCAAGAATGTGAGCGTGGCCATCAAAGGTACGTACGAAAACTCGACGAACCATGTACCGATATGAAAATATCACTTGTTCCATTGCAGTCAACGCGACACCCAGCCGAAACAACGAAAGTTCAGCCGACACTGAAGGTTTGTATGCAACATCGGCACCTTTTTTAATGACCTAGGGACACCAGGCACAACAGACATGGAACTTAAGTCTAGAAATCCAACATGAGCTTTGTTTTTCCATAAGCACTGCTACTTGAACAAGTAGCAGTGCTACTTGTTCATGCGTTTTTCTCTAGCCAGTTCGTTACACTCAATGATAAAGACAAAAGCCCCTAACAGTCTTTAAGCTAGTTAGTATTTACCAATAACTCAACGTAAGCATAATGTTTTACCTTGTGATAAGGGCCACTTGACGCTTTGAGCAGTTTCTTCTGTAGCGAGACTCATAGAGGTTCTCATATTGCAGAAAAAGCTTAACTTACTACATCAAGGCTCTCGGATATTGAGGTGGGCTAGTTTGATATGCATGATATAAAAATTAAATAGCGCAAAAGTTAGACAAAGGGACAAAGGACAGAACATGTAGACAGGACAAGCGCTTGTCTAGTCTACATGTTCTGTCCTTTGTCCTTTGTCTAACCTTTGCGCTATTTAATTTTTATATCAAAGCTCTCTTGCTTCACGCACTGAGCGATACATGGACTTTTTCTTTTACAGTCCAAGGTAACATAACCTTAACAACCGAATGTTGCTGCCAGTATAATGCAGTTCAAGTAAACAAATGCGTATACAAGTGCAAAACGATGACGCACAAAGATATTCTTACGACACAACAAAGTTGCATTTTACAGAACCAACGCGATCGCAACTTATCGTTTAAGAAACGCAAGGGGTGACCGAACCCCGAAGTCTCCCTGCTGAACAAGTCATATACACCCGTACGTCTCCTTTCCAATGATACCCTTGTGAAGAAAAACTTGAAAACAAAGTATAGTTTTACCTTTGGACATTACAATATTAATTGGTTTAAAACAGCCTCCCGTATCTAATACACGGATTATACAGATCAAACGCACAAACCATTGTCGGCTTATGTACGCCACATCTATTAAACTATAGCTATTTGAAAAAAGAAAAAAAAGATTAAAGGCACCTGGAAGAAACAAATGCCGGAGATATGGCATCTGACTGGCAATGTAGGGTGAGCAATAGTAACCAAACCTACAATTTTCCTGTCAGACCTCCATTGAAAAAACAAATTTATGTAATATGTTAAATGGTTCTTTCATATAGTAGAATGTGATAGGGGTCGTACGGGTCATGCGTTTTGTTGCCCTTAGGGCTCCTTCCCACTTGATAACGAATCTTCGTATCCCAACCAAATCATAGAAAGTAGGCCTAATCGGAAGACTTAGTACCGTCGCCGTATTCTACATTCTAGTTCACGTTGGCGATGCACACATTGTTTCAGTGGAGCCTATTGATTGACTCGATTGTCTTTCGTGTTTTTGTTTCTTTTGTGCGTGACGGGCAGCGGACAGCCACCACGATTCCTGCCTCACGTACACTGTCAAGTCCTTGTACAATGTAAGCCGCGGAATGAATCCCGTTCAGGACGCCTTCGACCAGCAGCTTTTCCTGAACAAGCCGTGTGGCTGCAACCAGCTCAAAAGCCGTAAGCGAGACCGTCTTCTGTAAAGTTCATCTAAAAAGTACTTGAAGTAAAATACAAAGTAAATGAGAGCTTATGTACTTCAAGGAAGGTAGTAAGTACACCGGGCGAAATGTACTTGAAAAAATAGCGCTATAAATACGACGTACTTTTAAAGTAAAATAATTTGCAGGTACATTTTAACACGATCGTTCGTGATGCCCTTTCATTACCCTATGCAGTGTCTTTTTAAAATTGGTATGCATTACCCCAAGGGTAATCGGGGGTGCATCAGTGTTTTCGGAAATGACGGCGAATATTAGATAAATTAAATTGGACACAGAGTAGTATTTTTTTTTTTTAATGACGCCGAATTCAGAAGCCCCTTTGACTTCTGAATGTGTCTCCCTTGCACTGGCGTGCATCCAAGGGGGTCAAACAGGCTAGGATAGATCTTGATGTCAGCCTCGTAACTTATGCCAGCAATCCTCTCGTAAAAAAGCCTCTTCTCCTGTTTATTTTTTTTTTTATTAAAATCTTTGTTGGAGCGAGATGTAACGAGATGGAAACGCTGCGGGAAAGCCACCCGCAGTACAAACGAAACAATGCGTCGTCTGCTCGCGTTTCTGGTGAGAGTAGGATATCCCTCCCAGAATTTCTTCAGAATTTTAAAGCACCATTTTGTCATGCAAATTTAATAAGGCCAATTTTGGGGTATGTACTTTAAAATCGGAAGATGTTCTTTCCTCGGAAAGTGCTTGAAAAAAAAAAAGACTTTAAGTAAAGCACAAGTACATACTAAGAGAATGCACTTCAAGTAAAGTGCAAGTTTTCTAAACCTACTTGAAGTTGCACTTTAGATGTAATGTTCCTAAGGTATGCAACAACGCTGAAGTGAAATACCTCGCAATGATGCTCCCGAACCTCCCTCTGTAACGTAATTTCACCAGAAGTGAAAGCCCTGTCAAATGCTACGAGACAACCAAACACGGACGTGCACAGACAAAGAGTCCAAAGGCGTGACGGATGAACTGTGCCTGATGTGTTTAGCCGGGGAAGACACGCTCAAAGAGAGACGAAAAATGTCATGGCGTTCCACTTTTGGCGCTGCCTGCTTGACCCCAAGGCTCGTAGCATCGGCTGCGCTCTCACGTACGGTGAAATAAAATATAGTACGTTCACAGCGCAAACATCGTTCAGGTATGTCATCGTGTGGTTATCGCTGCGTTGCTAGCTTAGCAATGAAAAATATGATATCGGAGTGTACAATTGTCACCGAAGGCACAAAAAACGCAGGGCTCTGCATATTGCATTCATGCTTCTCGCTTCGTCATTCGTATTGTACAGCGCTTTTTGACTCATTCAAGCTATCTTATTGCTCCGAAGCAATGTTAGGATAATCCAGACTCGCCATTCTTGGCGTTTATAGGGATAGTGTCTGCGAACTTAGCAGGCAGTAGACAGAGCCGAACGCTGCAGCCTAACGGAGCCATCGAACAAACGAGTCGTGGACACGAAATACACGCAAATGATCAGAACGTTCACATTAACGTTCTACGTCTGCTCAGCTAAATCCGTACTGATAATCTTTTCTTTTTCTTTTCTTTTGTTTTTGCTGTCGATTGCAGAGCTGCCGTCATATGGTCTCCTGGTTGTGGACAAGCAGTCCAGGCTTTCCAGTGGAGTTCTCCAGCTCGGCACGGGCGTCAAACTGTACCCGCTGCCTTCCGGGGTCTACAAACTGCCATCCTGTCGCTCCGGTGACTTCCAAGAGGAGCTCCCACAGGTAAAGCCCCCGTTTACGTGCGGGGCAATGAAGTTTGGTTTGACAAGTGGCGCTATCCTATGGAGAATTTGCGCAACCCTGAGACGTCCCGCGGCCGCGATCATTGGGGCCGATCTCGAGCTCGAATCCCCGATCGCCGTTCCGAACTGTGACGCAGAGCTCGTGTCCAATCCCTCGGTGACGTGGCCTTACCAAAGTTTCCCATTTTGGCCACCAGCCACGCTGACTGGTAGCCGACCGCAGTGCCGTATGTGTAGAGAGTTGGGTCATTAATTGGTAAGGATTGGACAGAAAGAAGGGAACGTCATGGGCCGAAATTGTTTCAATCACCATGGGCGCAGTGACAGAAAGCTCTTGTGACCAACCACTAACAGCAAACATTCCCCTAGAGGAGACAGTGAATTTAACAAATACTTTCCAATCACAGTTTGTAGATAAGAATGTATTCAAGTATATCATTACAGCATGCTTGAGTTAAAATTTCCGACTCTTCGCAGCTGAAAGGGCAACACATGCGACGCTGTCGTCATGGCGAAATTCAAAAGGCACTCTATCTTTCTTTTGAATGCACTCGCGCCCGCGGCCGCTAAGGGGGTGTCCAAACAGGACATTACAAAACGCACGACTCCGACAAATCGTGAAAATTGAAGCGGACGCGCCCGCTTCAAGCCCGCTTCAATTTTTACGATTTGTCGGAGTCGTGCGTTTTGTAGTGTCCTGTTTGGACACCCCTTAACGCGGCCACGATGAAGTGGACGTTAAAAACTGCGGATCAGGCTCCGAGGGAGTTTTGACCCAAATCCTGAACGCGTACCCCATATTAACGGCTTCGCTTCGTGTTTCAGGATACTTTTCTTGTCGAAGCCACCTTTCCTGGCTCAGTAAACACACTCAGCACCTTGAAACTCCCCTTTTCCACCAGTCTCTTATAATTTTACATTCATGTAGTTTCAGCCTCATTCAGAAACAAAAAAGTAAAACTTGCGCCGCGCTACGCGGATCCTTCAAGGTCATCCCAGATCATTTTTACTTCGCAAGTTCATCGTGGGTTCGATATGCGGCGCTGGCGGCGGCGAAGCTTTCGCAGCTCCCGCCGGCTCCTCACATTGACAAGAGTTTCTCTGAATACGGCTTTCGCCGACCTTGGCGCCTCCTGTTCACTGCCCTGGGGCTATAGGTCAACGCGCTGTTTACAAGCACGCCTGCGTCTGCCCACACCGGTTGTGGGCACTGCGCATGCGCAGAAGCCCTATTCGCGTGAGGTGAAGAATCGGTGCATGTGCTGTACTGACAACCGCGATACCGCAGCGAGCTGACGTCAGAGTACAATCAAATAATCTGCTATTGAAATAGGTCCTTTCGGAATTATTTATAGGTCCTTTCGGAATTATTTATAAATTATGTGCGGCCGCCATTAGTTGGTCATGAGCACTTCGTCAGCATTCGGAGCATGCTCGGGTCGAAACACATTCCACACGAGTGCTGCGTAAGTGCTCGGCGCGAACTCGGAACCAATCACGGACTTCACGCCGGAAGCGATGAGGTCAACTAATGGCGGCTACGCATAATATGTGCATCATTTCACAGTTTCGGAGAGGGTCTATATATTATCGACTCCGCTCATTTGCTTTAGACAGCGCACCAGCACTAAATTCTACCCCTATCATCGGCATGGATATGTCCATCCCGCTGTTCACGCCGTCGCGCTTTCGTGCTGTGCCAAGAGAGAGGGCTGCCGCCGCCGCACCGAGATACCGGAATTGCCAAGACAGCAGAAACGGCTGTTTCCACTTTCTCGAAGGCTGTCCTCGACGGTAGATGGCGGCAGACACCCCCCTCATTTAGGAGCGGAAAACCCCGAGTCGGCGCGTGTTTAGTAGTTCCTAGTGCACAAAGGGGTCGGCTCCAAGACAATTGGATTTTCGCGGAGTAATATGTACTTCCCAGTAAAGCATTTGGTATAATGGGTCGCGTCACTTTCAGTATAGAGGGGGGCTTTGTACACAGGAAGCCGAGGTGACAGACGGCCTCATCGAGCAGCTGCCTCCTGCGGAGTTGGACATAGACGAAGAGATAACCGAGGAGGACAAGACGGACGTGGCGCCGTGTCCCGAACAGACGCACGAGTCGTGCCCCGCATGCCTGGACGCCACCGAGGACGCTGACGTTGTTAGCCAGTACTGCAATTCAGACTATGGTGAGTAACAAGTGCTGATTGTTGGGCAAGTTGGTATGGTACGTTAGAAAACATGATTGTGCTTTGAAGACAGGGACATAGGAAGAATAGACACCACAGAGCGCTAACAAGTGGCGCTCAGTGGTGTCTGTTCTTCCCATGTCCCTGTCTTCAAAGCCCAATCATGCTTTCTATGGTGACTAAGCCTATGGGGTATTAGTAAGTATATCTGGATCCACGCTTTCGTTTGGTCGTACGATCGGTGACCGAGCTAATAAAAAAGAAGAAATAAAATCGGTGGCCTAGTGTGTTTTCGCATCGAAACTCGGAGCACGTGGAGCGTAAGCACACGCTGCAAAACTCAGGAATCCAGGATTCTATCCCCCCTCCCCCTCCCTGCCCGTTCCTGCCCGTTTCGATCCGGATTAGTGTCGTATCTGCGTGCGACCGTGTATTACTACTGTGTGATGCACGCTAAAGACCCCAGGCTAGCAGTGGTAGTGTATTGGCTAAATTTATCGTCTCCAACGGACGCACCAGACGCTCATTGGGGCTGACTAGTTTACAGCCGTAAAAACTAACACAAAACATAATTACTTTTTAAAGTCGTCCTCTCTTCTCGTATTTTTTCGGAGTCGTATGGGTCTTGAGCAGAATGTACCGAAGTAAAGTTTCGACAAAGCATGTCGAGTTATGTGGGCCAAGGCTCGGGTTTGATCCACAACCGGGTTTCACCCAATGTTATGAGGAATTACTGCGGCGAACGCGCCATAAAACTGAAAACTCGTTTGCGTGTCGAAATGGAACCCAGGTACAATAAATTCCTCCTCAGTTCTTCGCTGAGGCTTTCAAATATGCCATTCGTGGCTTTGGCAGGGCAATCCCCGATTTCTCACAAGGAGAAGTTGAAAGCGATATAGACGATGTGGTCGTTAGAGGGATACTGAACGGAAATATGAATTTCGCAAAATAAGGCTCTAGAAGCGTTGAATAGGGCTCTACGAACTTCAAAACATTACTCGTACATCGATATCTCAAACGGATGGCCGCAGTTTTGGAAAAGAAGGGCGCGACCAAGCGAGGTCTTTGACATCACTGTCCTCCGGGAGAATTTACGAATGAGGGGAAGGGCCCTCGCTTCTCTCCTCCTCGCTTCGGTTCACCAGCTCGACACGGGACGTAGCGAGAAGAAGAGGGAATGGGAATCATGACGTGCCTTATCTCGTCGGCCCCGTCGGCCGGGTTCAGTCGGGCACTTCTTTTCTAAAAATATGTCGATCCGTTAGAGATATCGCGGTATGAGTGATGTTTTTGGGTTTTTCACCGTCCCGCCTATCTGTCCGGCCTTGTTTTGTGATAAAATGCTTAGATGGGCCAGTTGGTACATCGTGGGAAAACAAGCGCCAAAAAAACACGGACAAAGAGTAGATTGACAACGACACAGGGCGCACTCTCAACTGAATTTATTAGGAAAAAAACACAAACTTATATACCAATGGGAGCACACTATCAGACACCACACGTCACGTTAGTCTCCGCCCAGACCACGTTTCACGTGAAACGTGGTCTGGGCGGAGACTAACGTGACGTGTGGTGTCTGATAGTGTGCTCCCATTGGTATATAAGTTTGTGTTTTTTTCCTAATAAATTCAGTTGAGAGTGCGCCCTGTGTCGTTGTCAATCTACTCTTTGTCCGTGTTTTTTTGGCGCTTATTTTGTGAGTTCGAAATTTCGGTTCAGTATCCCTCTAATACTGTACCTTTCATTTATTGAGGCCTGCAAAAGCTCACGAAATTCCCGGAGACTTTTTTCCAAGCTCATTCCACCAATATCAACTATCTTGTACTTATCTTTGTGTTTTGTTTGGACCCCAGGGATTGAGCAGCCTATGAATGCGGCCTACTAAATCAACGGTAAAACTAAATTAATTTCCTCGAGTATGACGGTGCAGGAAGAAAGAATCATTTCAGGTGCAATGTTGCTATCGTCACATACAGAATGAGAACGGCACGGAGGTCTTTCACTTCTCTCTCCACCGGCGCGAACATCCTACCTTCAATAAAGCTTCGACGGTGCTTCAATAAAGTACGGTGGAAGGCAACGAGCGCGTTCTGTAGATCGGCAATCCCAAAAGAGATGTCCCGTCGTTCTTACCCTGTCAACGACTACAGCTTGTTTCCACGTAGCTTTGTTCAATGCTTTCTCCACGAACGCCCAGTTTCGTTGGCGTCTCCTTCCCATGAGTGCGCATTTCGGTGCAAGACGAAGCCAGGTGCGTGTGCATCAGCGCGGAGCTGCAGCAGTGTGCAAACTGCGCCTCTGTTCTAAATTTATATTTATAGGCGTATGATGAAGGTCCACCGTTATAGTTACGACAAAAGTATTACAAAAAAAAAGGGCTGACATAAATCTTAAGTTTTGAAGCTTCCCAAAAAGTCAATCAGATACAATCACGTGAAGCTATCGTATTGTGTAAAATCGCATGGTACCCCAATACTTCGTTTCGGCTCACGTCCTAGCGCAGCAGACGCTACGATGTAATGAGATCAGCAAGCGGAGTCAAAAGCGCAAGTCACTAGACCTTTTTTGTTTATGATTGGTTCAGCGATGATAGAACGCGTACGTAAACATAACGTACACCATGGTTATGCGCTTTGGACACTGTCTGATTGATCCCAACAGCTCGTAGCGTCGGCTGAGCGCGGATTTAACGTGAAACGAAGTGGAGCACCTCTGTAAAGGCTTAGACGCTTACCGAGATTTCAGACAGCGGCATAACGCTCTGCTGACAAACTATGCCGAGCCCTCGGTGGCCGAGCCAAACCAGACGTTTTGAATTTTCCCGTATCCTAATGTGATTTCTTTTTCGTCCGATAGCTGCCGTTGTGAGCATTGCCGACGACGTCTTCTCGTCCACGCCCTACTCAGGTAAGCTTCCTTTCGTGGGCCCGGCGTAAACTTTAAGAACTCATCGAAGACAAGTTCATCCTTTTTTGTTCTTAGCTTGTTTACGAGAGCACAAAACATTAAAAAAAAATATATATATATATATGTTTAAAATTTTAGTTTGGAGCTTTTTTTATATATAAACGTGTATACAAATAACAATATGGACGCCGAATACATCGATGACGCCCCCTTATCGGTCTTACCCATGACATTACTATCAGGATTTGTTTCGCCGTGATGTCACGACCTGTGATCCTGACTACACATCATCAGTTGTCAACGACAAGTTTTATGGTGTGTCAAACGCACGGTTGGAACTTGAAGTCATTGCATTCTTCGACCAGCACCGCCAAACTTAACACCCTAATATCACCCTTATTATGATATTGATACTTTTATATACATCATGCATAAGGTTCCGTGTTTTTAGTTTATACAGAGATAAACCCCGAAATGTAACATGGGAGCCGGCTGTTATCAAAATTGGAAAAAAACCGCAAAACTCCCAGTTGGAGCTGTCCTCAAATAAGATGAACTCTTTTTGTGTCGGCTCTTACTGAACTGTTCGCGAGGCTGCTGATCTTTTTAAAGGTTTTTCACAATTTGTCCGGTTAAGAGGCATGTTTGATGTATGATGTTGATCCAGTAGAATAACAATAGACCAATCTCGCCTAGCGTTCGGCGCATGCGTGAGGGCGCTCTAACTTAAGTTCACAGGACACAGGCGGGAAAGGTGGCTGTGCCCCAGACGGTTCGTGCCATTTAAGCTCTGCATCCGCAGAGCTCCAGCGTGGTTGTCGCACGTGCAGATAAACTAAAGTTATCTCGATGCATTGCGACAGCGGTTACGTATCTAAACTGGCTGGTGAGATTGGTCTATGGCATGAACTCTTTAAGAATGCAGCGACGCATTATACACCTTCTATGCGTGATGGCTTCAGCAAAGTGACCTACCGTTCCCTCGACTCTTTTTGGTTATAATTGTCTAAGAGGGCAGTGACATGTCAAGCATTATTGGGTGATTGCTCCATCAGGTTTGTCGACCAGGGGCGTGTGCTCGTCATCAAAAAATAAGATTTCGTTACGAAGTGCAAACTTTTTTCAACTAAATGTTGTTTCACCAGTCAACCAACCTTGGTGGTCCCCCAAGATCAACGTGTCAAGTGAGTTGACTCCTCTATCAGCATGGCAATTTATGTGTATATGGACGGCATCAACTTATGTGTGTTTTCGTGTTTTCAGAGGTTTCACACCAGTCTGAAAATCAAGTCATCATTAGCATTCGGGGTAAGCAAACATAAATCCTTTGATGTTTTCTCTCCTATTACCCGCTCGCCTTCCATGGCCTACACTTGAGCAGGTGTGTGCTTTACCACCGGTACCAAAAGTACATTTTTGATATGACAGACAGGGTTTGTATTAGGCTGCTATTGCAGAAATGTAACTGCAAAGCAAATTATATGCGAAATCGATTGGAAAATCCTATTCTTAAGATGGGAAAAGCTTTGTCTCAAGCTTATGCTTGTCCTTATTAATCTGACGGAAATCTACGTGTAGCTTTTGGAGAAAACATTATTGCCGTCAAATATGTGGACCTTCCAAGTTTAGTATGTCTGATTTTGGCGTATACAACCGTGCCACATTGGTTCTTTTTTTTTTTTCTTCTCGCCATTAGCGAAGGCAAGGTACCAGTTCCCTCAGTCGGACCGTACACCTGGAGACCCAAGTAAGCTCGACAAAATCCAATGTCTTAAACACGACATACATTGCGGTATTTGGCTACAAATACTAGCATACACGGCTGGGACCATGATAAGATACGAAACAAAATCGCACACGCGCGTTATCGCACCCGGGAGCCTTGCTCCGGCTGCACGAGTGTTAACTTTAGGGCACTACAACGCTTCTTACGTACACAGTTTCTTTCTAAAAATTACAGATTTAGGGGTTCTTGGATTATGCTCAGCAATTTTTAATTGGAACCATATTTCTATTTTCACTAATTAAAAAAGTTAATTGACAAATTTCACTTACTAATTAGCCAACTGATCATTACGATTAGCCTCCTACGCCATTCCTCCTGGCCGTATAACTCACCTGCACAAACCACAGAAGTGTAGCTTTCACGGATTTTTTTTAAACAAATCTGTCGAGCTTAAAAATAACACCCTGTATATTACGGCTTGCAAGTAGTATTATTTGCAAACCAATTTCGGAGATATTGCGACAATGCAAGAACCGTTATAGCGATGAAGCGGGCGTCTTCCGTGGATTTAGCACTATACATTCGACATGTCTATGACCTTGCGAGGACAGGTTTTGCGTAGTTCGAAGGGCTGTACCCGCCGCTGCTTTCGGGTTTTTTCCTTTGAATTGGGAGAGGCGGCTGCCGCCATCTATCGTCGAGGACTCCACTATAGCCTCAGTCGAGACGGCATATCAGATGTCCCGCAAACAGTGTCTTCATATACTTCACTAGAGAATGCATCTTACTCCGCGAAAATCTATCGGCCTGGGCACTGACAGCTTTTGCGGAGTTAGAACGGCTGGACGCGACGCAGCCGAGCGGTTTTCCTTTTTACCTGTGAGGGGTGGATGGCGCCATCTATTGTCGGGCGCTCCTCTAGCTCCAGTCGAGACGGCCGCCTCGGCTGTCGCGGTGAACCCGGTGTCTCGGTGCACCGGCGAAAACCCTCTCCCTCGAATAGCGAACAGTCAACATCTCCTAAGACAATAAGGCTGAAGGACTGAATTATCAACGCCACCTAAAGAGGCTCACGAGGAGCGCGGATTCGACGCGAGTGCTGCGTTTGTGTTCGTCTGAGACTCGTGTCTTCGCAGACTGAACATGAGTTTCAACCGAAAGGTGATGCAACACTGGCGTCGTGTCCCGCATTTCCCTTTTTAAGCGACGTCAAAAATTTTGCCCTCTATCCTTCTAAGAGGTAGAGAGACGTCTTGATTCGCCTGTGTTATCCCAGCCGCGAAATGCTCACTCACTAGGGGAGAATCTAACGGTGTAGGCGCGCTGTCTAATGCAAGCGAGTTGAGTGCGATTTGTCGCCCCTCTTGTCACTGACATTTTAAGAAACGCAGGGCATGGCGAGTACCGTGCTTCTCATTGTCGCCTCGCAGCCAGTTAGATTACGGTATTCGCCGATAGGTAGACCAAACGACCAGTCACGAGGCAAGAACCATGAACACAATGAACCACGCCTTGTCTTCTTTAATCTCTAGGTGGCTGTAGTCAGTTATTTGAATAAACTGGAAATGTATTCTCCCTAGCGAACGTTTTGAATGAATGTGAATTCAATTTTAATAAAAAAGGGTGTGATCCATCTACGGTTACGTCTCTTATTCCACGTCACGTAGCGAATCCCCGTATGTGCCGCTCCGGAAGACTGCACGTGAAGGAAGAGCTGATGGGAGCTCGAGGTGAAGTCGGTCCCTTCAGCTTCACCGTGCTAAGCTCCTGCCACTGCAAGTTCCTGGACGAACGTGAGTGAAGACGCAACTTCGATTGTTTTATATCTATAGACCCTTTCCTTTGTAAACGCTACCAGGCGGTGCTCCAGTCTTTGACGTCCCTGCGATCTTTCGGTTTATAAAAATAATGAACAAAGCCCCCCTAACACCGCTGGTTGAAACGCCAATGAAGTATTTAGCCCTTGTGCTTCTCCGGGAGAAGGCAAAAAGAAGCAGGAAGTGCGATATCTGTTCAAACTTTTTTTTTTTAATATTCTTATGATATAGTGTTTAGTTTTCTTTATTTTGTTTGGCGGTTTTTCCGCTCGGGGGCGTGAAGCCTGACAGTCTCTGCCCCCCAACAGATCACCAGTCAGCAGTGCAATAAATACAGTCAGCAAAACATGGCATATTCAGTAAAAAATAATAATAAAAAGAAGGCACAATGAAACAGCTAGTTCAATTCATTCAACTATGTGAAATTCAAAGATGAAATAAAAGGACACAATAAAAACAACTAGCAAAATTACATGTTACACAACAAGCGTGATTCGTATCGTAAAACAAATGTAACGTGGTATGACACAGAATCAGCATATCACTAATATAGACATAAAGAAAGTCTTACGCGGGAACAAAAAAAGAGAAGAAGGACACAGCATAAGATACGACTGATGGCCGCCATTTAGTTTAGCAGTGAAGAATAATCCAATATATGTCAAGAGCCACATTTGTAGTTAAGTATAAGGGCATAATAAAAATAACAACTTAGCCTAGATATTACACAACTGAGGAGCTGATACCACTGCCCACGAGAAAGCTTCGGCACCGTTTCTTGAAGGCATAAAATGTTTTACTGTAATTTATAGTCATATTTGTTCTGTTTAGCATCTTGATTATCTGAAATGACAAAGTTTGGCGACCATAATTGATTCTTATTGAAGGCATCCTTCGCTTTGGGTCTCGTATTTGGCAAGGGCTTAAGCTCTCTTTGGGTGTGGAGTATATTCTGTGTTTGTAAATCCATTGTAAGAGCTTAAAATAGTATACTTTGTCGCTTAATATAATATGCTTAAGGCATATTAGATTATGCCTTAAACATATTGCCGAAGGCCCTCGTTAAATCTAAAACTTCATTGTCTGTGTAGATTTTATGCTCTGGAGACATCAGCAAGCTCGAAAGGCTTGCAAAGACGGAGCGACCGGAAGTCGCTTGGGACGCAAGCAGCGTTTCATATTTGTAAACGGTAAAAGGGCCTATAGTGTTATATTAAAGTTACTGGATCCTGGAACAGTAGCGCCATTACCTTCCCTGCCTGCCAGCGGGATACAAATAGATATATACAGACGACTAAAGCTCGCAAGGTGATGGCTGATCGGCCTCAGTTGTTAAAGCCCACGGCCATTTCGCTCCATTCGACTCTTCGAAGCTTCCAATTCCAAACTAGTCGCGCCAAGATCCCTATGGCGTATCATTGTACTGAAAGTGCTCCCCGCCAATATCAGCGTCTTTGGCAGTGTGCGTGAAATCCACTTATTAATCATGCGAATCACTACAGGTCTACATACTGTTGTTCGTGGTTATTTTAAGTCAAGAAAACTACTTTTAATGGTTCCGAGCACCGACCCCGCAGGTTTGATGGCGGTGCGAAGATGTGTGCTTGTGTCATTGATGTGTTTATTGCAGAATCTTGGTTTACAAGAAACGTGTTTATAAAGCTACCCGTCACCAGCGAATTCAGATCTGCCCACCAAGAATAAATAGGTCAAGGAGAAACTGTTCACTCTAATTGACCAAAATGGTGAACAAACGGGGAGCTTGGCGCTTCTTTTCCTGGATCCAATTACTTTAGCTTTATGTAAGAGCCCTGCTATGACCTTGCGTAATCGCGTTCATGTTGGTCGCACCGTGGCAAGGCCATCGGAGAATGTCTGGTGAGTGGATGATTGCCCCCGTCCCAGACGTTCCTGATATGTCTAGCAAATAGTTCGGGGTAAGGAAAAATAAATACTGTAAACTACTTAATTTTTGCGAGGACCTAATTTTCGCCAATTTTGCGAATCACCTACAATTTGCAAAAAATAGGTCCCGCGAACAATTTCGGTAGAATGTAAACACATTAGAATTCATATTGAGATCCCATCGCGTCGTGAAAATTAGAACCCGCGAATTATTCCAAAACTTTAGTTTTAACCTAAACCGCGAAATATTGAACACGCGAAAAATAAGTCGTCTACAGCACCTCCCTCCCGTTGCCCGTTGCTCCCGGGCCATCTGCCCAACACATCCGGCGGGCTTGAGGCGAACACCACTACGTCAACAACAACATATCATCAATTACTTTACACCCAAATTGAAAGAAATGCTCTACCAGAAACATTAGACACTATCAAAGTTGCTGTTCTCATCTGACATTAAGTTTACCCTAAATTTGAGATGATGGACACAGGCCATCAGGCTGGTTCACATCCTTGCGACTGCTTACGACCGTGTGCCTTAAAACCTCTTAATATCTCTTACGATGAAAGAACACACTGACGCCATCTTTTTGGGAGCCGTGGAACACTTGGGGGTCCCGTATATTTTATATTTTTTCTAGTATTATTCTTTTTATGACATATGACAAATGGAGTTTCCATTTGTCATATGTAGCACTACATTTAATTTTGCAAAGGGGGCAGAGCCTTTCCTCTAGTGAAATGTAGTTCCAGAACCATCTCATGGATGGCGCCAGCGTGCCAGTCTGCTCTCTCGTCGCAGAAGATCGCAAGAAGTCGGTCGTAAGCAAACGCAAGTGTGTGAACCAGCCGTTACGTTGCGAAGATGCAGTTTAGTTTCAACCACCATCGCCGCTTACTTCCGATTTTGTCGTTCGTTCCTTTAATACTCCCCGTGTCTTTCGCGTCGGCAGCCACCCAGTTTGCGGTCCTGGTGTCCAAGTCGGTGCCCAAGGCCGGTTCTGTACACCTCGACGAAGAGAAGACGCTCATCTCGCTTCCTCTGGGCAAGACGGAGTTCCCCAAGTGCGTCCGCCCTCAGAAGAAGGCCGCGTCCTCCTGGAGGCTCTGGGGCTGAGTCATTATGTGCACTCTTGTTTTGTTTTCGTCGTTTTATACTTCGAAATGTTTTTGGTAATACACACAGTTGAACTGTCATGGCATCTTCGCATGATCCAATTAAAAGAAGCACAAGGCGCAGTTTGAAACGTGTTTTATATTTCTCTAAAGCGTTTGCTTGTTTGTTTGTTTTTGTTTGTCTGTTTGTTTGTTTGTTTGTTTGTTTGTCTGTTTGTTTGTTTGTTTGTTTGTTTTGATAAGGCCCACCAAGGTAGGTCAAATTTTTTCCTGTTTTTTTATGGAGTATGTTTTGTTAGGATACTATTCGGAATATCTCGAAAAAATGCACAATTTACGAACTTTTATTGTTTTTTTTTTAACCTTAATATGGGGGTTGATTCGCTGAATATTTTCTGGGTGCAAAACAAAAAAAAAACACAGATATTGTGTTAGAACCGTGTCACGCCGCTGCAAATAATGGCTTCAAAACGGCGGACATATTCAATTCTAATCGGGGCGGGCAGGACTGGCAGAGTCCCCTCAGCCTCAAGAAAACGCGCCAACATTCTTCTTTTCTGGACTAGGCTATGGGCTATTTCATACAGAAACTCCAAGTGAAAACCAGTACGTCTCTCAACTGCCGACCAGTCGTAATTCACCAGTTCTAAAAGCTCACTCATAGGAATGGAAAACTTCCGTAATGTTTAAAGGCCAAGCCAAAAAACAAATACCAAAAAAAAAAGTTTTTTTTTTTTGTGGGGGGGGGGGGAGTTTTGGAAACATTGAAAAACTTGTCTGAGCATGAATAAACCAGCAATATAAAAAAAAAAATACAAAAGTTTTCAAACCCCGGCTTGCGGAAGACTTCCAGCCGGTCCGCCGCTGGCCGCGGTCTTTCCAATGAACCACGCGGCTCATGGCTTGCTTCCAGCAGACCTGCTGCTAACGGCACTGAATGAAGTGCACATAAAGATACGGCGTTGCAACGCGCTCCAAATGCACGAGCGAAGATACCAGAAAGAGAGAAACTGCATCGTAATGCGGGTCCTCTCTCCATAAAATTGACTGAACATTGACCCCGTAAGTGATGACGTCACAACTTGGCGTCTGGGTCCAAGCAAACCGTTGCTAGGGACGTTGCTATGGACTAATGCATGGAGACTCCACACGAGGCTAGATTTTCGCTTATAAGTAAGTAAATCATTTTTTGTAAGCAACCTAACTTCTTTATATCTAATTATGAAGATGTCCTTGTCATCTCAGCGTCGTATTGCAACGATGAAAGCCATTTCTGAAGTATTCCACTCCGCTTTGCTTTGGTAGCAGACGACACGATAGATTTGCTGGCCTCTGTTGCAGCGGGCGTCCGCAGAGGCCTCCACAATGTGCGTCTTTTTTGCTGTGAAGAACCCAGCTTAGTTCAGAGGGGCGAAAATTCCGTAAAATCAAACCACGTCATGCAGATCAGTTACGACGACGACCCCAAGTGCGTTACCGGCGTAGTGCAGGCCAGAATGAGAAACAAATCGTACGCCGTCGAGGTAAGTCGTTTGTTGTTATTATTATTGAGGTTGTGAGGTTATTAAAATATTGCATGTCTATCGCAATTTCGCATTTTTTTTTTATACATTAAATTTAGTGGATATCCTCTTTCGGTGAAGATCTCCATCGAACCCGCGATGAGAGTACAATCTGTAATAAACTCACCTTATGTTTTTTATCCAGTTCTTTCGCGTTTTGGGGTTTTGCGGAAATCTGAAGAAACTGCAAGAATCTTTCTCCACGCGATGGTTACAACTAGGTACGAAGCACCCTCTTATAGCGCGAGTCCGCAAACAAAATTTGGGATCTCTACCGATCGTCTGAAGTGCCTTTCTCACGGGTGCATTGCGATCTTTTAGCAGACGATCATCTCGATCGACGCCCGGACTTTCGATAAACCATATTTTGCATCGCACCCCACTATGAATTATTATAAGTGTCTGAAGCTCATTATATTAAAAAAAAAAAAAGCATTATCAGAATGTTGTCTTTATTCACCCGGTTCAGTCGCCGGCGCGGGCTTGGCCGGCGGGCGTGTGGCAGACGAAATTCTTGCATTCGTCGTCTGCTGCAGGCATCTTGAGGACCGGAAGTTGCAGTCGTAAATATTTCGGAAACAAGCGATTACCGGCACACTTCTGCCGAAACATATATGACATTCAAGCTTTCTATATCTGTGATTTTTAGAAGTTTAAATTCTACTCCCGATTTTTGAACGGTCGGGGTTTCGTAGCGAAACCTAGCCACATGTATTTGTCCATTGCAACGGCCCTAGCAACGGTTTGTTTGGACCCATGACGTCACACTTACGGAGTCAATTGTCACCAGTGTCGCCATACGTAGCCCCTTCCTTCATGTCTCTGTATGCCCCTCCGTACCCCCCCCCCCCCCCCCCGCCTCCTCAAAGGGGGGGGCATATACTTTGTTAAAATTTTTTTGGCGCTCTCATGTGCCTCGGGTTCATATTAAATGCGAACAGTGACGGAACTTCGAGCGCACTACCGGCGCAGCTTTCAAGCTTGGGTTGTGCTTGGCGAGGTTAAAACCAGAGTGTCGAACCGATATTTTTATTGGTTCGGTTCGGGTTCGGGTTCACGGCTTTCGGTTCAGTTCCGGTTCAGTTCCGGGGCGCAAAAAATAACGGTTCAAACCGGTTCGAACCGGTTCGAACCGGTTTGAACCGCTAAATTGAGAATATATTTTCCGCGTTGTTCTGTCAATAGGCGCTATTTAGGCCGTGAAACTAACTGCTGTAAACGATCTGATTTTTGCGAGGACCTATTTTTGAGAATTTCGCGAATCGCCTACAATTCGCGAAAAATGGGTCCCGCGAACAATTTCGGTAAAATGTAAACAGATTGAAATTTATATTGAGATTCCACCGCGTCGAGAAAATTACAACCCGCGAATTATTCCAAAACTCCAGCTTTGACCTAAATCGCGAAATATTGAGCCCACGAAAAATAGTCGTTTACAGTATATAGTTTTTTTTTATTGTTTGTTCAATTCAGTTTTATTCTCAGGTACCAAAATTATAAAATTCTGTTATTTATTCCTACACCACAAGAAAGGAAAATCTACATCAACATACAAAACGTCGTGTTTATACTACTCAACATCCCTTCGTTTACCAGAGTCACATATATTGTACCTGAATCGAAATGTTTTCGGAAGTGAAGTAGGTTGCCTAAAATACCCGTGATTGGTACAACTTTGTATAGCAGTATTAGATGTTGAATCGTGGTTTTGCCCTTGAACTAAGGAATTAATTACAGTGAATACAATCATCAAATGGGCACCTCGTCGCCATATATATCATGAAATGTGTTTTACGGAATACGTTTTACAATATATATATGATGACGAGACGACTGAGCTTAAGGGAATATAATTTTCAAAATGTCACGAAAGTCACGGGACAAGTCCTTCCAGTCTATATTTTATAGGAACACTAAGCGACAATCGCAATGCTTGTTTTTCTAACTAGCATATTGTTTGCTCTCAGCACCATGATGCGGGCGACGAATCATGCGAAAAGGAGTGGCTGAAATTGTTCACTCTAACCTATGAGCACCTTAGTACTGAGATCGAATCTGACCTAAAACAGTGCTTACCCATGTGAACATTTTCTTATATTGGATAAACTGGCATAGCCTGGATGTTGAGGTTTGCTCTTTACAAAATGCAGGTCAATTTAATTTGCAAATAAGCATCACCCTCGCTAATTGATGATTTTTGTTAAATAGAACAAAGTGGTATTTCATGCTCTACTCAATTCGGAAGCTACCTAATTGGACACTTTCTGAGAGTTTAAGTGTGCAATCGTCATAGTTCCACCGTTCGTTCCAGTAAAAAAAGGCGATAGTGAAAACACATAAAAAACGCGATAATAAAGTTCTATATATTTGAGAAGTTATATATGCGTGAGGAACACATATAGTTATTTAAATTAGCTTCAAAATAATAAAAAAAAACATTATTTAAAGCTTTTCAAAATCACCTATGACGTGTCTATTGATGATAAAAGCGCCGAAAATATTTGCCGAACATCTTTCAGATAATTTAAAGGCGCATTTACTTATATATCTTGGAGGTGAGAATCTTCTATTTATGCTGCCAAATCTTCAGACAGGAATTAAGTATATTTTTATTATCATCGATAAATTTGACTTTATGAAGTTCACATAACCGACTGAGACCGACACGGAAGGACGATACTCGAAAATACGCCAGCTGTTGTGTCTTCGGCAACGTGCTTTTGTTAGCTGTTTTGCAGTGTAAAATAGTGGGTTGCAGGGCATGCCAAAAAACACTGTGGTCACATGATATATCGGAAGGCAAATACACGAAATGTGCAGAAATAAGGAGATGACACGCAATTTTTTCTAAATAATCCCTTACACAACGCTTTACTGCAAAAAGAAATGCATAGAAATGCATAAAATGATATTCCTAATTAAACATAGATTCCGCGCAGGGCAAACAAAGATTTTTTAGAATCCTAATATAAATCACTTTTGGGCATCAGCTTGCCTCAGCTCGAAACGTCGCGGGATACTACCTCGGGAGGCTAATGTTATCTTAGGTTTTACGTGCACTTGTTTTGAGACCTTACTTCATGACTCTGTTCTTTATCAGTCATGTGCTCCAACATTTCATTAGGCTGCCGTATATCATCGCGAGACTACTATAAATACTACACAACTTTACACAATGGACGTCTACTGCTGGCGTTGCGAACGTCGCACTTCACCAGAAAGCTGAAGTATTTAACATGGTTTGCACGTGACGTAATCGCACTAGATACTGGTTGTCATTGTGAGTTGCTCTTGCTGAGAAAATCAAATCCGGTTTGGCAAAATGCACGCTGCAAAAGTTTCGCGCTCAGTGCAAGCTATGTATTTGAGAGGCACACATTTTGCTTGTTGCTACATCGTCGTTAGGCACGGCGCGAGTATCTGGCACGACGAAAACGTGCTTTCTGGCAAGAGTGTTTTTACAAATAAAAGTTGTACCAACTACCCATCTGTCACTATCGTTTCCAGGCCACGCTTTCTAGTCTGCGCCGAAAATGTGGGGCAGAGGAATCCTTACGACACAGTATGCT